CCTCTACCTTTTCTAAACCCAGCTTGAACATCTGGAAGTTCTTGGTTCAGGTACTGTTGAAGCCTAGTGTGGAGAATTTTGAGCGTAACCTTACTAGCATGTGAGATGAGTACAATTGTCTGGTAGTTTGAACATTGTTTGGTTTTGCCCTTCTTGGGAATTGAGATGAAGATTGACCTTTCCCTGTCATGTGACCACTGCTTGCTTTTCCAAATTTGCTGACATATAGAGTGCAGCCCTTTAATAGCATCATCTTTTAGGATTTTAAATTTCAACTTTGCTGGAATTCCATCATCTCCACTAACTTTATTGGTAGCAATGCTTCCTAAGGCCCACTTGACTTCACACTCCAGAATGTCTGGCTCTGGGTGAGTGACCACACACTCATGGTTATCTGGGTCATTAAGATCTTTTTTGTACAGTTCTTCTGTGTACTCCTGCCATCTCTTCTTGATCTAGTCTGCTTCTATTAGGTCTTTATCATTTCTGTCCTTTATTGTGTCAGTCTTGGGATGAAATGTTTCTTTGATATCTCCAGTTTTTTTGAAGAGATCTCCAGTCTTTGCTCTTCTCTTGTTTTCCTCTATTTCTGTGCATTGCTCATTGAAGAAGGCCTTCTTGTCTCTCCTTACTGTTCTCTGGAACTCTGCATGCAGTTGGGTATACCTTTCTATTTTGCCCTTTGCTTTTCACTTCTCTTCTTTTCTTAGCCATTTGTAAAGCTTCCTCAGACAATCACTTTGCCTTCTTGCCTTTTCCCCCCTCTTTGGGATAGTTTTGTTCACTGCCTCCTGTACAATATTATGAACCTCTGTCCGTAGTTCTTCAGGCACTCTGTTTACTAAGTCTAATTCCTTGAATCTATTTGTCACCTCCACTGTGTAACATAGGGAATTTGACTTAGATCATACCTGACTGGCCTGGTGGTTTTCTCCGCTTTCTTTAGTTTAAGCCTGAACTTTGCTATGAGGAGCTCATGATCTGAACCACAGTCAGCTCCAGGTCTTGTTGCTGCTGACTGTATAGAGCTTTTCCGTCTTCGACTACAAAGAATGTAATCAGTCTCATTTTGGTATTGACTATTTGGTGATGTCCATTTGTAAGTTGTCTCTTGTGTTGTTGAAAAAGGGTGTTTGCTATGACCGGTTCTCTTGGAAAAATTCTGTTAGCCTTTACTCTGCTTCATTTGTATTCCGAGGCCAAACTTGCCTTTTTACTCCAGGTATCTCTTGACTTCCTACTTTTGCATTCCAGTCTCCTATGATGAATAGGACATCTTTTTTTTCGTGTTAGTTCTAGGATGTCTTGCAGATCTTCATAGAACTGATCAGCTTCTTTGGCATCCGTGGTAGCGGCATAGACTTGGATTACTGTGATGTTCAATGATTTGCCTTGGAAATGAACTGAGATCGTTGTGCCATTTTTGAAGTTGCACCCAAGTACTGCATTTCAGGTTCTTTGTTGACTATGAGGGCTACTCCATTTCTTCTATGGGATTTCTGCCCACAATAGTAGATATAACAGTCATCTGAATCAAATTCACCCATTCTCGTCCATTTTAGTTCACTGATTGCTAAGGTGTCCGTGTTTACTCTTGCCATCTCCTGCTTGGCCACATCCAATTTACCTTGATTCATGGGCCTAACATTCCAGGTTCCTGTGTACACTGTTCTTTACTATCATCATTGAATTGATTGGATTTTACTGTCATCACCAGACACATCCATAACTGAGCATTGTTTTCACTTTGGCCCAGGTGCTTTATTCTTTTTGGAGCTATTAGTAGTTATTCTCTGCTCTTCCTCGGTAGCATGTTGGACACCTCCTGACCTGGGGGGTTCATCTTTCAGTGTCGGCAAGAATTCTGGGGTAGTTTGCCATTCGCTCCCCCAGTGGATCACATTTTGTCAGAACCCTCCACTATGACCCGTCTGTCTTGCGTGGCCCTGCATGTCATGATTCATAGCTCATAGCTTCATTGAGTTATGCAAATCCCATTGCCATGACAAGGCTGTGATCCTTTAAGCATCATGAAATGTCTCTCATTGTCTCCAGCTATTTTCTTTGCTCCAAAGTCTACTCACTGGATAGCATATAGCCATTGTACTTTTTTTTGGTTTATGCTTGTATGGTATATCTGTTTTCAGTCTTTTACGTTCAGCCTTTGTATTTGAAGAAAATTTCTTACAGACAACATATTATTGGGTCTTTTGTTAATCTATACTCTGCCAGTGTTTTGTGTAGGTCTCAGCCTCGCGATGCTGTTACTTGGGCATGTCTGGGGCACTCACTTAGGCCAGTTTTGTGGCTGGACCAGCCTTTGTGGTTCTTATTATGATTGCAAGATGCACCTCAGCAGCACGTATCAGAGAACCCCGAAAAACAAGGTTTCATTGCTGGCAGGTCCTGACACAACATGCCTCAGGCCACATGTTAAAGGAGTAAGAAGAGACGTGGGTAGGGGGCCATAGGTCATCCCTGGGCTTCTGCCTTTACTGAGGTGGAGGGTGAGGTGCCTAGGGTTTAGATCATTTATATTAAAGGTAACTACTGATATGTTAGAGCTTAAGTCTGCCACTGTGTTTTCTGTATGTTTCCTCTTTTTCCTTACTTTTCTGTGAGTTTTATAAAAATATTTTTTATTCCATTTTGATATATTTTTAATGCCTGAGTATATAACTTCATACAGTTTGCTTAGGTGTTGCTCTTGGCATTGCATTATATGTACTTTTCCCAGTCTAATGATCTGTGTCTTAATGGTTAAATTTCGTATGCTTGTCTTTTATCTGTCATCTTTACTAAATTGTTCATTCGTAGTTCTTCATTACTTCTGGTACTTGTCTTGAATTCTACATATCGTTGTATTTTATTTTTATCTTATCGTCAAGCAACACAAGTCTATTTTTCTGTTTTTCAACATCAGTGGTGATCTCTGTCTTTTCATTTTACTGTATAAATGAGAGATTTACTTGCACTTTGCCCCTCTGCTTCTAAGTTTTTATGATACAGTCTGGGTGTTTTAAGTCTAAATTTTTATCTGACTACCTCTGATTTTCATTTTTATATGATCTGTCTTTAGATCCTCTCTGACTTCACTCCAGCTCTCCCCCTCATTCCATCTACTCCACCAGTAATGAGCTTTTTGTTTTTCCTTTTTCCATCAGGCCTTTACATTTGTTGTTCCTGCTGCCTGAATTGCTTTGGTTTCTCACCTTATAAAAGGTTTTTACTGTTATTTGACGTTCTCACTAAAACCTTCCCTGGTCACCCCACTCAAGTTATAATTCATCCCCTCATCGAAACCCCCAATTCTCTTCCCTACTTGGTTTTCTTTCCATAGCACTTATGACCACCTATGTACTGTTTTATCTGTTAGCTGATTTATTGTCTGTTTCTCTTTGTTAGAATATAAGTTCCATGAAGGCAGGAGTTTTTCTGTATTTTGTTTTATTCCTGGTACCCAGAACAGAGCCTGGCACATATGGGTACTCAATAAGTCTTTATTTTAATGACTAATCTTCATCCATTTAGCATTTTTCCTTCTTCAGTTAGAACTATCAGGCCAAAGGATATGTTTTTTATTAATAGTTCTTTGTATCATTTGCCATATAACTTTTTATTTGCTTTCTTTCCTATTTATTTATATCAGATAATACTTTTCAGTGGTTTAAAACTCAAATAGTATAAAAGGGTTTATGTTGAATAGTATTCCTCCCATGTCCATGGACAAGCACCCTACTCTTCTCCTCAAAGCAATTAGCTTTGTCACTTTCTTGATACTCCTTACCAAGATAGTCCCATACAGCTTTCTGGAAAGTTGATAAAGTATTTTGCAAATTGTCTGTCCAGTCCTGTTTTTCCTTCTATCTGTTGCTCAGTCCTTCTCAGTGGGCAATGTGCATCATTTTTGAGAGAATATTACTAGCGAGCTGTCATGCTAGGTGCTGAGGGAGTGATACAGTGAAGAATTATTTTTCCCATGCTCTTGAAGTTCAGAATCCAACTGGGGTGGGAAGGTGTCCACACTTAAAAAGTAACACAGGATTTTAAAAGATCAAGATGCTACATGTGAAATATCATGAACATTGAATTATTAACTGTTGAATGAAATCTAAGTAACAAATACCAGGAAAATTAGCTCATCAATGCAGAGAGTGACTCCATCTATTAGGGAAGAATAAATTGGCTTTGGATAATCTGAGAAGAGTATAGAAGAAGGAAAGGAATGTATTATACCTTCTGTGTGTTTTCAAACATGATATTGAAGATCTTACTAGCAATATATTTTTATGCTGTATTTTCAAAGAAGAACAAAGTCCTTCTCTTGTGAAGGAGAGACTGTATTTGCTTATGACAAAGTCAGTGAGAGGACTTGCTGTAAAGATGTACCAGATGCAGTAGGGATTCAGGGAGAAATCGTAACCATTTGGGGAAATCAAGAAAATGTTTATAGGGAATTCATGATCAAGACAGATCTTGAAAGAGAAGTAATCATAGCACAAAAGGATAACACTAGTGGAAGACTCTAGTACAGGGATTAGCAAACCATAACTCTTAAGCTGACCACTTGTTTTTGTAAATAAAATTTCACTGGAGACATAGTCATGCCCATTGGTTTATGTATTGTCTGTGATAGCTTTCCTGCTGTAGTGGCAGAGTTGAGCTGTTGAGATAGACCACAATAGTCTGCAAAGCTTAAAATACTTACTATTTAGTCTTCTACAGAATGTTTGCTGTTCCCTACAAGTAGATAGACTCTGGGTGGGAAAGTATTATTGCTAACTATTAAAGAAATGAAAATGGCATATTTATTATGGCTAGAGAGGGAAGTCAGTAATAGAAGATTGGGTGGTTAAAGAGGAGGTTAGCCTTGAGGGAATTTCATAGGAAGACCATTACTGATAGAGAAGTGAAGGGCCTCTCTAGGATGGGACAGTAGTTCCTTTAGGCATAGATGTGGCCTCTCCTTAATCATACTTTCCTAATCTTTCCGTCACTAGCCAAGAAGGATCAGGAAGGTGGAGAAGAAAAGAAATCTCTGCAAAAGAAAAAAGTGAAAGAATTAAAGGTGTTGGATTCCAAGACAGCCCAGAATCTCTGTGAGTAACTCTGCGATCCCGGCAATTTGAAATGTAAAGTTCTTCTTCTGAGAGCCTAATTCTGGTGGATCCAGGGTCTCTTGATGTGAAACTTAATAATTCCTGCTATATACTTGGCATTGCATAGTAAATATCTGATATCTACTCCCTTCAATAGTACCGCCTGGTTGTTAGTATCTAGTTTTATGGCAAGAAAATAAAGGCAATAGGACTTTAAGGAATTTGCCTCATCACATAGAATAAGAGACAGGTCTAAGAGTTAAGCCTCAGGTTTTATTTCAGAGCCCTTACTGTTTCCATTGCATCCATAGAAAATCTAAGAAAAATTTTCTACCCATCCTATATTTCCTTCTTTTTCATTTTCTTTTAAGTATTTCCTTTATAGGTGGGTACTGGCCTGACTTCAGTTAAATGTAAAATAACTTTGTGGTTTAGAATAAATAATGTAAATCCTGTGCTTCTCAGAGTAGGATCAGTAGCTTCAAAGAGTTCTGTTCTGAACTTGTTCCTTATATTCATAACTCTGCTTGCTGGCAAATTTCCGATCAGAACTCCTCTGCAGAGTTGTTATAGGTCGTATTTAATGATCAGGATGAATGTTCATTTTTTTTGTTCATTTTAACTGTCGATCTCCTGACTTTATGTTGAGTAATAAAGATTTAAATATTCATTCAACAAATATTTGAGGGTCTGCCAGCTTTCAGGCTCTATTAGGAACATACTAGGCATGTGTTCCAGCAGCAGCAGGCACGTGTTCCAGAGATGAAAGGGTATGTATTCCATAAAACCCACTCATAGTGGGGTGACGTGGCTATTGTCTCCATTTTACCAAGTGAGAAAACTAAAGTTCAGATGTTACGACTTAGCCAGGGTCACACAGTTAACTTCTGGGTATGTGTCCTCGTTAAGTCAGTAATATAATGAAAACAGTAAGCTTTTACATCATTCTTGACTATATAATATTAGATCATTGACAATAAATATCACTAAGTAGTGTCTGTAGATAAGTCTTTTTATGGGAGCTAAAGTGATGTGAGGTATAGTAGTTGCTCTTCTCAAGATTATCTCTAGCAACATAAAAATGAGTAATTTTTATTTTAGAAAATGATAAAAGACTGTGGGTAGTACATTGTTATTTCCAGTTGAATGATATCAAAATTCAGGGAGAGAATTGAGTTTAGGATGGTCTAGGAAGTATTATTTAGTGATTCAGTGATTATTAAATGCCTCTTATATGGCAGGGATGCAAAACTGAATAAGGTCATTCTCGTGAGCCATATGTCTGGTGGAGATGAAAAAAAAATATGGCGATAGCACAGTTTGTTGAGTGCTGTGATGGAGGTGTGCCTGGGTGATTATTAGAGCACTGGGCAAGGCGGTGTCTGAACCAGGTGGGAGGCGCGCTGGAGGGCGCTCAGCCTCGAGGTCTTTCTAAACGACTTAAAACTGTTAACAGCAGACGAAAGGAAGGGTGAGGTGTCTGGCTTGTTTCATTTCAGGCATAGGGATCAGCGTTGTGAAGGCACCGAGGCATGAGGTAACATTGTCCCAGTTCAGGAAGCGCAGTAGTTGAGAACAGCTGAGTAAAGGCCGTGTGTGGGGGAGTCGTGGTTGAAATTTTCATGAGATAGAGGATAGATGATACAGACATCTTGGTAGGCTTAGGCTAAGAGGTATGTATTTTGTCCTGAAAACTGTGGAAGTTATTGGATGGATTTTAATCAAAAAAGTGAGAGATACAGCCCTCTGTAATTTGGGGGAGGACTACTTCAGCAGTGATTTTGCGGCTGGATTGCTAGGGGAGGGGGGGATGTGTTGTGTTATTGCTTCAAACTAGGTGAGAGGTGATCAGGGCTGAAACTGAAGTTGTAAGAATGGATATGAAGGCAGAAGATACTAAGAAGAGAGAATTAATGGAACTTAGTGATTGATAGAAAAGAGAAAGATGTTTTCTTGGGTTAAGATCTCTCTAAAGAGAGTGCTACCCTTTATTGAAGTAGAATCTGCTCCTGCTGGATTTTCCTATCTTTTGTGTGAGAAGTGGTGGACTTGAATGAGAGGCTTCAGGGTGGTGGGTAGAAATGATTGATTTAATTTTAGGACAGAATTTAAGATTCCTGTGGGACTCCTCCAGCAGTGTATTAGGCATTTGGGTATATCAGGCGGAAGGTCTGACTGGAGATATGAATTTAGGAGGATATCATATGAGTCAGAGTTAAAACCCTTAATTTGCTTTGAAAGTCATTAATATTGAGGTGGCAAGTAACAAAAAGGGGAGTCCTCAAAAAAACTGGCAAGGAGCAGCAAGGAAAATAGTCTGACACAGTCCTAAAAGTGGGAGTAGCAGTCGAGTAAAATCAGGATCTGGCATTAGGAAAGGCAGTGACCTAGGCAGGAATCATTTCAGTATAGCATCAGTGGTACAAACAGAACTCTGGAATCCATTTGTATTTAAATCCTGGCTCTAGTCCTTAGTAGCAGTGTGACCTTGGACAGGTGGGTTAAGTTCTTAAGCGTTAGTTTCCTTTTCTGTCAAATGCGGCTAAAAATAACAAACTTATACATTATTATAAATAGGGTTCAATGAGATCATATGTGTAGATTGTGTTTATGATACTAGGTCTTACATGGAATATGCAGTCAACAAATGATTGTCATTTTTCCACTGGCTTTGTGGGGACAGAAGAAGAGTTAATGAGAATGTGGAAGAGAGAATAGACTGGTGGTGTTTGTTCATTTGTTTTAGATAGAAAAGGCTTGATTATGTATACAGTTGTCCCTGACATCTGTGGGGTTCCAGGACCTCCAGCAATACCACAGTCCACAAGTACTCGAGTCCTTTGTATAGAACGGTGTGGAACAGTCTGCCCTCTGTATCCATGGATGCGGAAGACTGTCTGTGTATGCTGAAGGAGGGGTCCTTAGGGCCACCTGTGCTATTGAAACATGAGAAAAGGATGGGCGCATGGATATAGTCCTGCTAAACTGACAGAAGTCTCAGTGCACGTTTTCTTCTAGATGATTCGAAAATGGTCCTTACTTAAGCCTTTTCTAGTCTGGTTCTAGCTGAGAGCCCCAGTGCTCAGTTTGTAAGTAACATAAGAGAAAGCTTAGCAAGTAATTTGACCAGTACCTTCAATTTTTCACATTAAAAATAAGCAAGATCTTTTTAGAACAAATAAGGAAGTGGTGGGACATTTGGGAGAACAGGGCTATTTTTTATGGAGGAGCTGGCAAGAGAGCATGGGCTGGGGACCTGCAGAGGGTTCCTGCCATCATCAATGCCAGTTCATAGAATCTGATCTGCGGTGTCCATCAGCCCAGGTGTAAGGGGAGAAAATGAGATGGCTAGGTTAACCAGGGACTGGAAGGAGAAGGAAACCAGAGAATAAGAATTGTAGTAGTAATAGGGCGGGAGTGAAAGGGTAGACCACAGGGTCTAGGTTAAACAGAGAAAGCCAACTAGAACTGAGACATTCAGAGAAAATAGAATGGTCATCTCTCTCGTGAGAGAGTGCCTGCATGCAAGAGCACACTGATGAGGCTGAAGAGTCAATTTAGGAACTAGTAAGTGAGAGCTGGAAGGACGAGAAGTGTTTGTTAGGGTGTGGGACATGGCAGTTTAAAAATCAGAGCATTTCAAGGCAGTGGCAGCTCTGAGGATAGAGTCAGGGAATGAGGAACTAAAATAGAAGGGGGTGAATGTTTTTGATGTATATAGATAGATCAAAGATTTCCTGTGTGAGCAAAGACAAGGAGTCAGTCACAGTGTTTATAGAATATGGTGCTTGGAATGGTGTGGCTGGTGTGTGAGTGATACAGATGTGGGGATTCGCACAGGGGAAAACTGGGAGGTGGGAACCTGAAACACTGGGCTCAGAAACTTGGATATTACCTAGACAGGCAATGAGGAGCTGGCGGGGGTTTCTGATCGTGGCTTCAAGAGAGCACTCCTAGGAAAGTTGTCCAGTGTAGGTTTGTAGGATGGGCTGGAAGGCAGAAGAAACTGAGAAAAACATGTCTTTATATCTCATTTCCTGGCAGCAATCTTTTTGGGTTCCTTCCGCATGCCCTATCACGAGATTAAGAATGTCATCCTGGAGGTGAATGAGGCTGTTCTCACTGAGTCCATGATCCAGGTAAGGAGCAGGCTCATCCTGGCGCTGGCTCTCTGCATTGCTCAACACCAGTCGGTCTCCTCTCTGCTTAGACCATGAGGACTCTCTTAAGTATCATTGACTTAAAGAATGCTAGCTTTGGATGAGCTTCCATCCCTCTGGTGATCAGGTTATTTCTGGTATGTTTTTCAAAAGTCCTGTCGTCTCACTGGCTGCCTCCCAACCACCAGACCCCAGCCCATGTTTCCTTATCGGTCCTCGGGCAGAATGAGGGCCTGACAGGAGGCTCCCGTTGTCGACTCACCCCCCTCTAACTGAGACAATCCCTTCTCTCTTTCAGAACCTCATTAAGCAGATGCCAGAGCCAGAGCAGTTAAAAATGCTTTCTGAACTGAAGGACGAATATGATGATTTGGCTGAGTCAGAGCAGTTTGGTGTGGTGGTGAGTGAGGCCTGTGGCTCAGGCTCTTCTCTGACCCCCTCCTCCGCAAGAGCATTGGGACACTTGCTTACAGCCTCTTGTCCATTTTGAACCCATCTTTCTTTCTCCTCCCTACTCTGGAACTCAGATCCTGCTATAGGAGGCTTAGGCCTGTATCGTTTCCTTCCTCTTCTCTGTCTCTGCTGATTGTAGTGGACTGATCCTCTGCTGTCTGCTGACTGTAGTGAAATGTTTGTCTCTTCTCAGATGGGTGCAGTACCCCGCCTGCGGCCTCGCCTCAATGCCATCCTCTTCAAGCTGCAGTTCGGGGAGCAGGTGGAGAACATCAAGCCCGAGATCGTCTCGGTGACTGCCGCATGTGAGGAGCTGCGAAAGAGCGAGAACTTCTCTAGCCTCCTGGAGATAACCTTGCTTGTCGGAAACTATATGAATGCTGGCTCCAGGAATGCTGGTGCTTTTGGCTTCAGCATCAGCTTCCTTTGTAAGGTGAGTGGGACAATGGAAGGGAGGCCAAGGCCTCCAGGAGCCCAGTATGGCAGACTGCTGTTGGCCTGAGGTGGCCTTGGGTATCAGGACTCACCCTCTTCCCCCTCTCCCCCCCAAGCTTCGAGACACCAAGTCCACAGATCAGAAGATGACGTTGTTGCACTTCTTGGCTGAGTTGTGTGAGAATGACCATCCTGAGGTCCTGAAGTTCCCAGATGAGCTTGCCCACGTGGAGAAAGCCAGCCGAGGTGAGGCAGATTGAGGTGAAGTTAGAAGGGGGTTCCAAGCCCCAGAAATCTCTGCTCAGGGCAGGGAAAGAAGAATCAATCTAGATTTTAGATCATTTTCAGTTTAGACAGTTGTAAGTGGGAATGGGAGGATACCAGTGTGGTGTCTAAGCCACAGGGAAGAATATGGGGCAGAAGAGAAAGTAAGAAAGCTCCATGTGTGAAAGTGGGACGCACTCTTCCCCTTCCTAGGGAAACATCAGAAAACAACTGGAAGAAAGGTAGGTATTTGTAGTTTAAGTCAGCAGTTTTTCTTACTCAGAAAGCATAGACTGGAATAACAAAAACCAGGCCTCACCATTCCGGGACTAGGCAAAGAAAAAGCAGCACTTTGTAGAAATGGGAACAGATTTCTGCCCTCCCCCTGTATTTCTGTGTATGTCTCCTTCCTCTCAAATCCTGTTCTCTAAAATAAATGAGAACAAGATCCTGAGGGATTTCATAGATTCTTGTTAAATTAAATGAAGCCTCTCTTCTCTTCTTAGTATTGTACAGCTTATGAAGGTTGGAGGTTTAATCATCAAGTAATTTTAGTTTCACTGGAAAAACGTGTGAAACAATAGGAGTGTACATCAGAGAACTAAAATAATTAAGTACAGACCATAGCTGTGCCCTGAAGGACAGAGTAGGGTCTTGAGGCTGGAGGTGGTGAGCTCTTGCTGTCTGTTTGTGTGTCTACTTTAGTTTCTGCTGAAAACTTGCAAAAGAACCTAGATCAGATGAAGAAACAGATTTCTGACGTGGAACGTGATATTCAGAATTTCCCAGCTGCCACAGATGAGAAAGACAAGTTTGTTGAAAAAATGACCATATCCTTTCTTGAAAGGAGGGAGTTGCCACCTAGAAAAAGAGCGAGCTTCCCATGGGGGGACAACAGGATAAACTGATGGTATACAATTCTTCCTCTTTAGAAAATGTCTAAGTACAGAGTTCTGAAAGCACTCTCATTGTTGTGGTTTGCATCAAGCCTTGCAGACAAAAGTATAAGTCTCCTTTGAGACCTTTCCCCCTGCCCCATCACACACACAACATATCCCCTCCCCCCTCCTCTTCCCAAAGATAACTACTGCCACTGGACTTCTGATTTGCAACCTGATGAATTTATTTTAATGAAAACTGCATTGTATTGCCTTAGCATTTAATATGTTTTGGCCCCGTTTCCACAGCAGTAGATGGAGAATAGTCTCCTTTCTGAATTGCCAGCCCCTGTTCTGTAGGAATACCATAGTCAGTGGTGTACTCTTTCCCTGTCTGGATGTTTCAGTTGCTTCTGGGTTTTGCTAATATGAACAGTGCTGTGTTACACGTCCACGTGCACAGATACCAGTACGCACGTGTGAGTGTCCCCAGGGCTGGAGAAGCGGGTCTGCTTCCTGGTGTTGGTTCTTGACTTGCTGCCGCACAGCTTTGTGAAGGACGCACAGGAACAATACAACAAGCTGCGGATGATGCACTCTAACATGGAGACGCTCTACAAGGAGCTGGGCGAGTACTTCCTCTTTGACCCCAAGAAGGTGTCTGTGGAAGAATTCTTTATGGATCTGCACAACTTTAAGAATATGTTTGTGGTAAGCAGGAATGGCTTTCCCTGGTGGCTCAGTGGTGAGTTCAGTCCCTGGGTCGGGAAGATCCCCTGCAAAAGGGAATGGCAACCCACTCTAGTATTCTTGTGTGGGAAGTCCCATGGACAGAAGAGCCTGACCAGCCTACAGTCCATGGGTTCAGAAGAGGCAGACACGACTGAGTGACTGAAAAGCGGCAGTAGCCAGCAGGGAGGCCTGCGAAGTGGAGCCTCTGTCCACCTTTCTCACTTGCCACTGGGTTCATGTTGGTTGGTGGTGGGTGTGCACATGTGTGAGTGCATTCGTGTCCATGTGTTCACTCCCCTCTCCCCCCAGCAAGCTGTCAGGGAGAACCAGAAGCGGCGGGAGACAGAGGAGAAGATGCGGCGAGCAAAACTGGCCAAGGAGAAAGCAGAGAAGGAGCGGTTGGAGAAGCAGCAGAAGAGAGAGCAACTCATAGACATGAATGCTGGTGAGAAGCGAAGGGCCGCTGGGCTGAGACAGGATCAGTTGGAAGGCTGCTCTGTCTAGAATCTAGAGGCCAGAGAACAGCTCATGTCTGAGCACAACTCCTTGGCAGATGCTGTTGGCAGCCTTCTACCTCCACGATCCTGATGCTGGACTTTAACCCTGACTCTGAACACCCATGCTCCAGTGCTCCACTCTGTCTTTTCCTCCTTTGCTGTTCTGCACGATGTCTCGTCTCCGCAGTGACTTAGCGTTGCTGTAATATGTATTCTTGCCTTCTGCTTGTCCAAAAAACTCCCTGTCCGGTTTTCATACCCTCTACTACATGTTGTGCTCTTTTCCTCAGATTGTTTTCCTGGCCCTGCGCCTGTCTTTCAATGGTTTGTCTTCCCTTTCTGCTTATTTCACTCTGTTGTGTCCCCAGCACCTTCGCACGGCTGTACCCACCTATCAGACTGTGAATGGACTGGACTCCTAGAAGGGGGCAGGGGAACTGGCCACCCCTTCTTTCTTCAGCGGACTTTGTATTTCGCTCTCAGAAGCATGTCTTTGCTGAAACATATGGCCTCAATTACTGGCCCTCTGTTTCCTGTTTCTGCTTCTTTCCTGCTGCCGACTCCCTGCACTCTCTGGCTGCTCTCTCTGTGGGCAGCGGAAATCCAGCATCCATTACATGGCCCTGAGCTGATGCCACCCTTCTTGACCCCGCGGGGCTACGAGCCATCTAAGTAAAGAGGTTCTCTGGGCTGCTGGGTCTGGCAAGAGTCAGTGCTGTGCTGAGCACAAGGGATGAGGGGCCCCAGGGACTTGACTTTGGCCACTCCAGTTGTGGTTTGCTTAGGGACCTGAAGCACCCTGCATTTTTGTCTTTTCTTTATATTTTTTTGGGAAGCAGTTCCCCTGCCCTTACTCCAGTTGTATATAAGCCACAAACTGCTCTAATAATTAAACAAGCTCACGTGAGGTATCCTTCACCTTTGCCCCCTTCTCCCCAAGCCTTTAGGGTTTGTGCCTAGTTATTGTTTAGGGTGTAATAGGGAAAGGTGGAGTCCAGCTGATTTGTGGGATGAAGGCTGCACACAGTTGTCAGTCAGCACAGGGGAGCCTGCCCTGGTCCACGTCCCCAGGGCAAATAAACGAGGTTGGAATGTAGGTCAGCTGTACTGGTGGTGTTCAGCCAGCAGGTGGCGGTGGGAGCAGTGAGCCCAGCTTTACCACTGGCAGTCTGCTGGCTCCTGGGGATTTCAGTTTAAGATTTCACCACCCTTAGCTGTTGCCATGGAAACAGAGCCAGCTGGAATCAGGATTCTACATTAACTCTTTGTATTCCAACCAGCAGCTCCTCTTAGATTCTGAGCTGACTTCAGGAAGGTGTAGCCGCTGGGGGCAGTACTTAAGTGAAATGCACTCTTGAGAGGTGGTCTCTCCTCAACCCTGCTCTGAAACTGGAACCAGGCTTTCCATGAGGGGTATATGTAGGATAAAGAGAATGACCTAGTTCCTTATTAACTTCATAATCCCAGTCCCTGTACTCACCCCAGTCTTGGAGTCGGGCAGTTCTCTCTGCTGGTTTTGATGGGGATGGGAAGGGAGGCGGCACTGCAGGAAAATTATCTAGGGTCTGCAGTGGCTGGTAGCCAATGAAACCTGATGTTTTAACCATTTGCAAACAGACACAAGTAAACATGGACTGTGAAACCTGAGATTGAGCCCACTGTGTGCTGAGCCCCCAGAAACTGTGGATGAGGGCAAGCTATACATACAGTGGAAATGCATTTTTTTGTGTGTGGGGCCCAACCCATGGATGCTACTTGGGCTGAAGAGCTTACATCTCCATCTTTGTTCACCACAGAGGGTGATGAGACGGGTGTGATGGACAGTCTTCTGGAAGCCCTGCAGTCAGGCGCAGCATTCCGCCGGAAGAGAGGACCCCGTCAGGGTAAGTCAGCAAATGGAGCCCAGCCTGGGTGCTGAAGGAAGGCGGTGAGGCCTCTCTGCTCCTGCTCATTTTAGGCTAATAAGCAGGCGATGATGTTCTGAGGGTTTAGAAACTTCCCCATGATGTCCCTACATGTAGAGTGGATTATCCAGTCCTCTTCTAATTGTTAGAAAGGACTGACATGGAGAACTAGGACTTGCGGAATTGACAACAGATACTACATTTGGTTATTCTTACATTTCTCTTCATTCTTGAGGCAGAAATGTAGCATAAGCAAAGCATCATGCAAGACACAAATTTGGGTAGGCATCTGGGTACATGAACAAAAAATTGATGTAAATTCCAAACCGTACATTAGATATAGGAATACAAGGAAAATAAGTGTCCTTACTCTCAATTTCACAAACAGAAGAAACAGAGGATAATAGTATAGAATCCTATAGAGAGAAGGCTGGGTGTCATTCTCTCTAGATGTGTTAAATAAGGATGTGGAGGAGCATCTTAACCGAAGCTCATGCTGTGTCTGAGAACCTCCTGTTTTCCCGAGGGGTAGTCAGGCTGCACCACACTCGCCTTCTCTGTTTACCACCCTCCTCGGCTGCCTTTCAGAAGATTTAAGTGGATTACGTTGAGCCAGAGCCTCTAAGAAGAATTATGGCGATAGGACAAATGATCTAGGCATTAGTGTTCTGAAGCATCAACAGATAAATCATCTTTGAGGAAAGTGTATAGTGGGCAGAGACTGTTCCAGAAGAAGCTAGGTCCAGAGCTCCTCCTAAGAACCTGCACTGCACACTCTGGTGAAGGCCCTTTGGGACTGGGAATGCGGGCTTCCTTCCTTGGTTGAAGGGTGGGCATTACAGAAAAGACGGCCTTAAGCTTTGTTCCCTATTCCCTGGCTGGTGCATTCTGTAGGCCTGTGTGATAGGAACTTCACTTTGAGGCTGTTGTACAGGTAAGTTATGTGGTTTGCTGTGGCCACTGCTGAGCTATTAACAGTGGCAGCTGTAGGACCTGTAGCACCTCCCTCAGCCTGTAAAGAGGACCTTACGATCCAGGGTATGGAGTGTGCTCGCCCCACACAGTGTGCTGGCCCAAACCTGTGGATCACTATGAGAATGCCTGCCTGTTTCTGCCAATATGCTGAATACCCAGAGGGAAATTCCCTTCTGAGGGCTCTTCTGTATGACTTCAAAACCTTCCCTAAACAGAAGAATGTCTAGTTATAACTCTTACCTGTTTCCTGGCATCCTCTGAGTACAGAGAGGTGAGTATGGTGGGTTTAGATCTTCTGAGATGAATGTTTATTCTCATAGATCTGGATGTGGGTACAGTATGAAGCTAGTAGTATTTTTTGTGTTTAGTCTTGCAACATTGTTTCCTCCCCACCATGTACGGTGATGTGGCCTGACATTAAGCGTTTCTAGATAAACAAAAACACACCACGTCTCCCTGTTTTCCCCCATCCTGTTAGCTAACTGCCAGCCTTCATCAGACTTGAGGTGGGGAATTCCCTTTTCATCTTCTTCCTGTGAAACTAAACCAGAATCCCAGATGCTTCCTGAACACAGGGAACCAGGCATCAGGGGCGTCCCTCTCCTGGGGACGCCCCATCGCCTGCTTCTTCCCAGGCGGGGAACCAGGACTTATAGGCCGGAGCAGCAGGGGTTTTGGTAAAACCTAACCTGTCAGCAGAGGACTTGAATTAGTCGAAGTCCTGTTTCCCAGTGCAAAAAGGAGGAGGAGGAGACTTAGGTGAAAAGGAGAACTACATACTTTTAGAATTGGCTCCATCCTTATCTTTCTGGGCTCTGGGGTCATATACACACTGAACACATCTGGGGGAATCTCTCACGGGAAACATCTCTCGTTACTCTGATAACCCCTGTAGACATTGGAACATTCACTTCTGAGTAAGTGGCTTGGCGCCATGAAACAGAAGGCCAGGCAGCACAATAGAGCACCAAGAGCATAGGTCTAGGTGGGGTCAGAGGACCCAATGTCAGATCTAACTGATGCTGTCTAGATTACTCAAGACAAGTTTCTGGGACTCAGTTGCTTCATGCCTAAGATGAGAGTGGGGTTAAGAAGAGAAAAGAAAGGTTGGCCCCAGAAGGCCATACTGTAAAACTGTAAAGGCTCTGGTGACTGTGGATTTCCCTGGGTGGCTGCGGGATGTAGCTGGTTCACCCTTTGCTTGGCTGTCTCTGACTATTGCTGCCAACTGGCTGCTCTGAGCCAGAAAACCAGAGTGCTATCACACAGGTCTGCCTCACGGCCCTCCTCAATCCCAGAGAGGCATCTGTCCATAGTCAAAGACACTGGCTTCTGCCCTAGGATTTAAAGGAATGTTTAAAAAAAATCTTCTGGTCTCTGGAGACTTGAGGGAGTGACCAGTGTACAAAGACCCATTGAGGAGCTGGAAGAGGAGAGTGACTATTGGGGCTGGTTCATTAAAAGTGACATGTAAACTGCCGTGATCTGCAGGGCGTGGGAGAACAATGCTGTGAGTGTCAGGGGGAAGAATCCATGTGATTGTATTACAGCAGATATTTCAGGCTGTATGAGTCAGCGTGTGGTTTTAATGACTCAACTTTATCTCCATGTCTGAAATGTGGCTTCTTATATACAGGCCATCTGCTCACTGGGATAAAAGTGAAGGAAAGAAAGAAATTCATCTCCGTCTCCCTTTCCTTCCCCCTGCCACTTCCCAGCTTCCTGCTAAGCTTCCCCTACACGGATAGAACCTTATCCTTGGGACCAGCTCTAAAGACCTCCAGTGTTTAGCAGCTCACCTTCTCTTAGGTAACAGGGCTTGAAACCCAGGTAAGGTCTTGCCAGGATCTGCTGATAGAGCCAGAACCGGACCCTGCTTTTATGAATCCAGGTCCAGGACTCTTTCCACAAGGCCTGTGTGAGGAGCAGGAAATGATGGTGAGCCCTCTGTGTGGGCCAGAGCTACTCTTACAAACACTCTCCTTCTGCCAAGGAGAGCCCTGGACATGGTGAAATCGGTTCAGGAAAGTTTCCAATGTCCACACATCTAGAGAACTTAAAGAGTGTTTCCTCTTACCACCACTTATATCTCCCTGCACTTCTGTGTTAATAAAAATAGGACAGGAATTATAGTTAGGACTCTTTCAGACAGTAATGAGTTCTTCAGGGTGGTAATGATGGCCACATCTGTCCTAGTTTCCTCTTCCCTAAGGAAGCTCGTTAACAAGAGTACTTCCTCCATAGTAGTAGTTCCTAGCCTGTGTTTTATAAATACCTTTTTCCAAATCATTAACCTTTTTCTAATTCATCTATGCCTGATTTTGCTTGTGTTTTTTATCTGGCTCGGCCCTAATGTAGGAATCTGGCCTCAGAGAGCTTTGACCAGTGTCTCAGCATTGGGGCTCCCTGGTCCCACAGAAGCAAAATATGCTTCTGCTTCTGTGGCTACTTTTAAATAAGTCTCAACAAGTCCCCAGGTTAGGGAAGGGCTCGGGGAAGGCATCTGCTGGAGGCTCAGGCTGCGGCCCTGAAGCCAGGTGGTGGCCAGGATTCCTTGATCCTGTTCCCAGTTCCCACAGGAGTTTTCTGGTTCTTACCTTAGGCCACATCAGGTATCCCTAGTATAACCCACTTTCTAGGCTTAAAAGGGAAAGTTTGGTCTTTGCTGACTTACCCTCTACTCCATTTTTATGAATCTGTAATGCGTCAGCAGCATTTTAAATCTAGAAGAATATAGAGACATGCTTGACTAGGTACAGACTAGTATCTTCTTAGTTCAGAGGAAGAAATTGGGTTTCTTTCTTCCTCCTGCCGTGAGGCAGACCTGTGTGATAGCACTCTGGTTTTCTGGCTCAGAGAAACAGCTGAAGATACTTCCCACTTGAATTCTGACTTTGCCCATGTTGTCCAAGATGAATGCTCCTGTAGCTCCTTTTCCCTGGGTTCAAAGTCAGGAAGTAGTATTTTAACATGTACTTAGCCCTTGAGTCACATACACACAAATATTATATAATTGGAATATTTTCTCAAGTACTGGTGACTGAATTCAAAGGATCAGCCACCACCTTTATGGACATGAGAGGTAGGGTCCTAGAGGAGGGAGTATTTCAAAAAAGAGCAAAAACCAAGCAGGTCTGAAGCAGATTTTGCTGGAGACAGGAGACCATCCTAGTCGCACTCCTATGGGACCCTTCCTTCCCTGGTCAGTCCCTGAGGCAGCATCACAAGGGCTGTGAAATCCTGCACTCTCTGCCGCGTGCCTCCCCCTGTGCCTGCCAGCCAGGCTCTTCACTTGGTCTTTCTCCTCTTAGACAGTCCCAGTCCCTGGGAGGAGGAGGAGGAGACCTATAAATTGGTAACCCGTGGGCATGCCGTGTGTTCCCTCTTACCTGGGTGTAGGCTCTGGGTCACGCTTCTGCAGAGGCCGACAGTCCTGGGGAAAGCCTGGATCTCCAGACCCTGTTTGGCTTCTGTCCCACCTCAAGCTTTTTGCTGGTCCCAGGAAGGCAGGGTGGACGCTTGCTTCACTGGCTCTTCAGGACCTCTTCCTTGCTGCTCGCACCCGCCGCTGCCCTGTCCTGCACTCAAGTGTGGCCTTCTGTCCTCTGTCTGCTTCTTCAAGGTGTAGGCACTGCTTTCTCCACCCAGCTTTCCTGTGACCCAGAAGCTGGGTTTTTTGTTATTTTAATTGATATATCAGTCACATTCCTAAAATTCACCCTTTTAAAGTATACAGTTGTGGTTTCAGTATACTCACAAGGTTGTACAGCCATCACCACTAATTCCAGAACATTTCGTCACCCCTAAAAAAGACCCCATGCCCACTAGCAGTCACACCCCTTTATCTCCTCCCCCAGGCCCTTGCGACCACATATCTAGAGTGTCTGGATTTGCCCGTTCTAGACATTTCATAGAAATGGAATTAAAGCATCTGTGGCCTTTGTCTCTGGCTTCTTTGGTCCCAGGTAGGCTGCTCTTCATGCCCTGCAGTCTCTCTGGGCTGCTCAGAGGCGTGGGAAGCGGCAGACAGCAGGAAACAGGCTTGGTCCCAAGGATCGGCTTTCCGCTTGAGGATACCAGGACCAGGAATGTGGATTCTACAAATTAATGAGAGTCTTGGGAACAACTCCCAGCAGTTAGGACAGGAACTCTTGGAGGGACTAGTTCTTCTCTTCCTATTAGGGTGGCCACTGAAGCTTCACTAGCCCTTAGCCTTTCGGGCTGAGGTCTCTTTGTAGGGTTCTTCCTGGCCTCCCCAACATACCTTTCCTCACCCTTCCCCCTTCACACACCCACACACACTGCATACCTGCCCTTGGCCTTTGGATCACCACTGCTGCCCTTGAAGAGGTGGACAAGAGCTCGCTTTGTGGGCATGGCCCGAGGGAGGGAGGGTTGGTGAACACAGGTGGGGTGGCCCCATGTGATGACAGTGAGTGGCTGCTGCTCCTCTTTGCAGAAGCCCCTCTGGCCGCTTGTGGAAGGCCTTCCCTGCACTGGGCTGACTACAGTGATTTTGGCCTAGGAGCTTCCTGAGGACTTCCAAGAAAACAAACTACTACTACTATTTACTAAACTTGAGTCTGTTCACATCCAACAACTCTCCAATGAGAAACAGACTTTTGAGTACTTCTCTACCTGCTGATACTTGAGCCCCACTCTGTCTGCAGAGCTGTGTTTACACTCTTGGCCTGCTTGTCACAAAGGAATGTGAGAGCCAGACTTGGTCTCCCTGCTTGCACCGCGCTCTGCCCCCACTCCTACCCCCCAACAAAGGTATCTCCCATGTGTCCTTGGCTCTCTTCCCCTCCTTTACAAGAAGGGCCTCTGAACTGACCTGGGCCAATGCGTGTGCATGGCTTCTGGCCGAGTATCTGCCATAGAGATGGAGAGGGATTGGAAACCGGCCTTCTGTGGACAAGATGGCTCGTGTCTTCTCTTGCAGGCGTCAGGAAGGCAGCGTGTGCAGCCACATCTCAGCTAGTCTCAGAGCTGACCAAGGAGGATGCCATGACCTGTGTTCCCGCCAAGATGCCTAAGAAGAGCGAGGAAGTCCCCACCATCCTCGAGGAGACCGCAGAGTTGCTCGGCCGTGCAAGCTAAGCCAGGTCCTGGGGCCATGGCAGCTCCTCGGTGGAGCCCCAGACTGTCCCGCCTGCAGCATGTGCCTGAAGGGTTGCGGAGGTGTCCTCTGCGGTGGCCGCTCCCATCACCCTGACCCCACCTTACTCTCCGGCATGCTGCTCTCTGCCCATCGCACACAGCTTCAGCTGCCTGGAGGCCAGAAGGAAAGGGCAGTGTGGGGCCTGAGCCCAACCGGGGCAGTCCTGGCTCTTGTTACCAAAGCAGGCTCTGTGTTTGCTGCCTTAACCGCAAGTGTCTCCACTGTTCTCCAGGGCCTCATCTCAGTCAAGGCCCACCTGCTTTCTCAGCCCCTGCCTCTCCAGTGGGCTTTCCTAGGTCAATTGTGCTGGGTTTGTGCTTTTCTCTTGTGTTTTCTCTGGTCCTGAGAGCAGGATGGGCTTAGGAACCTCTGGGCTCCATCCCCCCAGCTCTGCTCTGCCTGCCCCGGCTCCTGTTGTCTATTACTGGTGGGGAGGCACCGGGAGGTGCTTCCAAGGAAGTGGGGAGCAGATCCTCCTCCTACCCCACCATTTGAGAAAGACCTCCCCAAACAAGGAGGACCTAGACCACGTTTACCTGTCCTGCTGTGGCCTAGGCCAGGGCCTGGGGGCAGGCGGGCCGGGTGGGGTGGAGCCACCCCCAGCCTGCTGCCATGCTGTGTGCCCTGGCCTCTCTCAACCCTCCCTCTATACCAGCCCCTGGCGGCTGAGCCATGGGCCCTCCTCACGCCCTCCCCAGAGCTTTGGTCTCATCTGAAAGTGTGGGCTGTACTGTGACCATCCCCACACCTTACCCTCTGTCTCCAAGGAAAGGGGAGGTGGAGCCTCCTGGTTGAGAAATTGTTTTGCAAATGGATCTATTTTTATATGAATTTTTTTTTTAAAGAAAAATAACCCTTTCCCCTCCATAATGTAAGAGGCTTTGATGGCAGGTTCCAGAGTCCCTGGGATTTCTCACCACAAGCCTCAGTTCTGAGCAAGCCCCCTGGACCTCCACTCAGCCCTCAAGCCTCTGGGTCTTCGATGCCACTGCAGACTCTCACCGCCAGCATCTGACTTGGGGGCCAGAGGCGGCTCTTCTCTGGTTGAGCTGGACCAGGCCTAAGAGTAATAGGAGCTCTCAAACGACAAAGAGTTTTTATAAATTTAATATATTTATCAAGCCAAATGTGCAGATGCTAACTGGACGCTCTGGAGAAGTGGGCCCAGGGATGCCCCATGCCTGTTCTCTTCAGCAGTGGGAAGGCCACATGCTTCAGTGGCCACAGCCACAGGAAGCTCAGATTCTCTGGCTAAAGGTAACACTTTGCCCTCCTGCACTCCTCTCAGCTTCCCACCCCCAGGTAGGGGGCGAGAATGGCACTGGCAAGGCCTGGCTCCAAAGTATAGCTCTTAGAGCAAGGGGAGCTTAGGAGACCTCAGGCGCCTCCAAGGAGGCCTTGAGGCTGGGCAGAAGGGTTCTGGTTGCTAGAGCCTGTGTGCAAAGGGGCACCAGCAGCCCCCCTGAGCTAGTGCTGGGAGGACTATGGTGGGGGGGGCCTGCTACTCCCCTCAGTCCCCTCCTCCCTGCTGACATCTGGGGCTTTGACCCTTTCTTTTTTAATCTACTTTTGCTAAGATGCATTTAATAATAATAAAAAAAGGGGGGGGACAAAATGCAAACCTGTTTCCCTCGCCTCTTGGGCTTCTGGGATGTCATCACCTCCAGTTTGTTGGGTTTGTTTCCAACTGTTAATAAAGCATTGAGACAGCCTTCCAGCTTCCTTTGTGAATTTCTGCACTCTTTTCACTGTCATCCAGGCTTCTCCCTGGTTGTCCTGCCTTCCTGTGACTGACTTGACAAATCATCAGAAGGGTGGTGGCACCTTCGTGTGCTGGCTGGGTGCAGGGCTGGTTGCCTCTGTAAGGGAGTGGGGCCCCAGTTCAGCCCCTGCCCGTCTGCATTGCTGCCTGTTAGCCCAGAACCCTTTTCTGGGACCCCACCCCCACCTCCCCATAACCCCAGACTTCACCTGCAGTTTCCTGGCAGTACGTGGGCCTCTCTTGCTAAGGGAAGCCTGTGACTGCATTTCTCCCACGTTCCCCTCCCTCTGGACACACTTGGTGGCCACAGACCACCATCCCGGCTAGGGCTTACCCTGGGGTGGAAACCTGAGCCTGCCCCGCAGAGATCAAAAGACAGACGTCTTGATACTCAAACTTGTTTGAGCATGCTGTGGCCTGCACAAAGAAACCTTACAGACCAGACCCAGGATAGACAAGGAGGGGCTTGGAGAGGACACGAGGCCATTTGGGCAGCTGTGCAACTAAAAGTCTCATTAAGTAGCCCTGGAGCCTGGGCAGCTACCTCTCCAGGATGGCTGGGGATGTGGAGGTGGGTTCTCTGCGTCCTTCCTCCCTACCCCCCGGAGCCGTGCACTTCTGGCTTAGGCTGCACAGGCACACATACCAATCGGGACCAACCACAGCTGCTCACACGCTCTGCTCTGCCAGTCTCCTGCCGTGCCTGGAATAGAACCCAGGCGACCGACACCCCGCCCTCTGCAGCCTGGCCCTCAGAAACAACACCCTGTTCCATCTCAGCGTCCGCGCACACCACCCTTCCTCCCACGCAAGAAGGCCGCCCCCAGCAGCTGATGTGGAAGGCTCGGTTTCCATGACAACGGACTTCAGGCGCTGGCAGACGTTTGACCGGCTCTAGGAGAGTACACAGGATGTGCAGAGACAGCCACCCCCCCACCCTGCCGCTGAGCATGCCCTTACCCTCACCGACCCCCCCTCTGATTACCCTAGTGGGTCTTTTCTATCTTTCCGCCCCTTCTGGCCTTTCCTCCCACTCTGTTGCCTGCAGCTTTGGCGGCAGCAACCTCCAATCCCTCCTTCCTTGGAAGCGGCGGGAGGTGGGCTAGACCAGTAGTGAAAGGGCCGAGAGAGGAAGGAGGGAGGCCGGTCTGCGGGTAATCCGATGTCCGGTGTGCCCTCTGTCCCCTGGACGCCCCCCTCCCTTTCCTGCACACACGTAAATAAGCGGCGAACCCTGCGTTTCCATGGCTTTGCTACAGAGAGGCAACCTAGAACGTGAATTCCAGATGGGAAAACAGGCGCAAGCTGTAGACTGGGCCTCTGGCATTCCCTCCCTCCCACCCTCGCGGCATTCCCAAGCCCCCTGAGGTGGAGGAAGGGGCGGGGTGGAAGAGGGCGGGCAAAGGAGAGTCCACCCTCCTCCCGCCCGCGAAGCTGGGAGGGCGCTCAGGGTGGTCACTTGAGCAGGGAAGGGGCGGAACTCAGGAAGCGTCCACAGCCCCCCTCCAGCTCTGTGTTCAGCCCGCGCCGCCCCCTCGCACGGGTCTGCTCTTCTGCCTGGAGACAGCGGCAGACAGACGACTGCGCACTGCCACGTCGTGCTCAGAAATCCCTCCTCCACTGCGGACCCGCGAGCCGATTACACACACAGTGTACAGTCCCACAGGCACCATTACGGTCAATCGGACACCGATTATATGTGTACAATCGTGCTGCGCGCATACACAGCCGCATTTAACAATTAAACAGAGATACTCAGGCAGTGACACAAAACCGAGACAACCCAATCATCGCCTCCCGATCCCGCTCTCCCAGCATACTCTGAGCTCATCACTTCATCCATACACGCCAGGAGCCCCCATCTCTTACACAGAAACAGCCAACCTTTCAGAAGAAACCTTTTAATTTTTCAAAGAAAAAAAGCCATATAAATATTAGAGTATAAAACTTGCGTGAGACACAGGAAGGCGGGTGGGGTCGGGAGCTACGTGACTATGCAAAGAGAAGCGCTTAGAGGAGTCAGTACGCGGGAAGGGGGCGCCGCAGCGCGTGGACACAGCACAACACAGCACGGGCCGCCGCGGGCAGGCTCGGAGACAGACGGCTGCGCGGAGCCCGCCGCCCGCTTGCCATCACGGAAAGATACGCCGCACTATACACTATTGATTATTCTACACCAGCCGGAAGAGGGAGGGGGTTTCTATACTAAGTAAAGGCTGGGATGGGGTTCTCGAGAAGCCCCGCTGGGTGAGCGGGAACGGGGGCAGAGGGGTGAGCAGAGGAAGGTCTATGCACAAGGAGGCACTGGGGGACTTTAACCAGGCTCTGGCCACGAGGGGGCGGACTGGGGGCCTGGGCAGTGGCCTTCACAGGGAAGGAATGGCACCTGCAAGGTGAAGGGCTGGGGCCGCTGGGGCAGGGGGGTGCCCTGTGGAGAAGCCCTGATCTCAGGCTGACACTTTCTGTCCACTTGGTCCCTGCTCTAGCTCCCTTCCTTCCCAACCCAGGGACCAAAAATAGCCCAGCGGGCCCCTCCCTCCCTATTGGGGCCACACTGATCCTTCCACCAGCAACACCTCTGGAGTACCCAGCACCCACAGAGGCCCCTCTGACCTCTCCAGGGGACCTGTCCTAATCCTGCTCAGAGCTGCCTTGGACCACAAGGCCAGTTCAAACCCACCGGTGCTGGAAGCTCAGCGCACCGCTGGCTGCCAGGCTGCCCTGTTACATGAAAGATGAGGGTCCAGCCTGGGGCATGGCTTCTGGCTGGAACCTGGGGATCTGGTCGGTACCCTGGGGCATACAGAGCCTCCTGCAAGACCCTGTTAACTGGTGGGATCAAGCTTTGTCCACCCCCCATCCACAACCACACCCTTCTTAGCACCCCACACTGTCTCAGAACATGCAGTGGGGTCTCTTGTTTGGGGAGGGGGAAGTCACAGCATGCAGTGGGAACATCAAATGATGACAGAACAGAACAAAAGACTGGTCCCCAGGGTGTTGGGAAGAGGCATGGTAGCAAAATGCCCTCCCTAAATCCAGCAAGCATCAGTACCATGGGAATGGTGACCATGTCTCCCAAAAACTTGAGCTTGGTCTCAGGTTCTGGAAGGAGATGAAGGGACTTGCACCAAACCATGCTTTTGGGGGAAGTTTGAGAATTGAAGGAGAGGTCAAGAAGTCATGATGCCCTTCCAAATCTTCAGAACTATGAGCCTTTTTAGGTCACCAGGTACCTCAACACCCCAACCACCTTAAGAAAGAGAAGAGTGGGCTGGGGTGGGGAGGGCAGGAGGGAGGTAGGGGATGGGCCTGATTGAATTTGGAAGATGGAGGAGTTCAGCCGTAACTGAAGGGGGTGTGATAAATGGTGTCTACACGAACCCCACTACCCCCATGGGCACAGCAAGTGATTGGATGGGGGTTCCCAGCAGAACTCCCTTTGCATATTCAATCCCTTGGGGGCAGAGAGGGGGGTGTTGACCTGGCACTTGTTTCCATTTCCCAAGGGGAGCATGGCCTGGGCCCCTACCAGTTTCCTGGGAGTGAGCCCTGAAATCCGAGGCTTGGGCACAGGTAGGGAGAGGCTGGACTGTTGGGGAGGGAGGCTGCCCTGTGGCTCCAGGCCTGGCCTCCACGTTACTTCTTTTCCTTCTTGCCAGACTTCTTCTTGTTGCCATTGCCTCCTGCCGGGGTCTTGCCATCACGCTTGCCAGCTGCGTTGGTCAGAGTGGCGTTGCTGCCAGGGATGTAGACATTCTGGCGGTAGTCGGGCACATGCTGCAGGGTGAACTGGGGTCCGTAGCGGGCACTCAAGCCCATGGTGCCGGCACCCCCTCCCAGGGTGGAGCTCCCATCAGCGGCTTCTGCAGAGACAAGGGAAGGTCAGGGGCTAAACCTCAGGGTCGTCAAGTCCCTCTCTTATAGCACCAGCAGGGAGAACACTGGACACGCCATCCTGACCCACAAGGGTAGAGCTGAGAGGCTCCAGAGTGACCACCTAGGTTTGTTTCCTAGTTCTTTTCCTACTAGCCAAGTCTACCTTAACCTCCCTATGTCTCCTTAGATTTCTGAATTGCAAAATGAGGATAATAATGGTACCTACCTCCTCTGGTTTGGTGAAGGCTAACCAGGATTACAAGCACCTTGTAACCAAGATTACATGTATCAAGCACCTAGAATAGTGCCCACTGCCTGGTAAGGGCGTCACACATGCTAGCCGTCATCTCTCTCCAGGCTGAGACTTGGCTCTTGAGACACTGCCCCAGCCTTTCTCCAGGCAGACTCTCTGGTCTCCATGCTAGGCCCCCGTGGCTCCTGCAGGTTCCTAGCCTGTTTCATCCAGTGCAAAGCACAGAGCGGGCACCGAGTCATTCTGTTTTGAGGGGTCGGGGCTCTTCCAGGGATTCATTTCAGAACAGCAATCAATGCCTACTCTGTGCCAGGGACCTTGCTAGATGCTACATGTGCATGATGGCATCTAACCTGCATGCAACACTCCAGGGAGGTGTGTGCTAGTACCCTGCTATAGAGATGAGAGAAGTCAGGGTCAGAGGAGGTAAAAGACTTGCCCAAGGCCACACCAGCCAGGACAGGGGAGAGCAGGGGTGAGGCCTAAGTACATCCTAAGTGTAGCTGTAGGGTATGGTCACCACCAGCAGAGGCCTGGACATCATCACTACTCTGAGGGTGAAGAAGGGGAGAGGCTGAGAAGATGATGACTGACCGCAGGACCAGCTGTCTTAGGTCCAGTGTGGGCCCAGGCTCACAATGTCAGAGTAGGTGACATCACAGAGCCTGCAGCCCAGCTTCCTGCTCTGCACAAGGAGAAACTGGGGTCCAGAGGACTGCAAATTCCGGCCCTAGCTCAGCATCACCTGGGAGCTTGACAGAATCACAGACTCTCAGAATCTGCATTTGAACACCATACCCAGGTGACATGTGGCTCCAGGTGATGTGTGGCACATTGAAGGGAGAGAAATACAGAAGACCCTACTTCACTGAGGTTTTGTGAGGATTCCAGGAAAAAGTGCTTCACCCAGTGCCTGGGCACTTGGAGAGAGCTCACTAAAGGTTTGCTGTTGCCAAAATCACCCTCACCCTCATCACTGTCACTGTCACCATAACCCTGTGTCACTGCTTCTCCCCTCTATGCCCCCTACCTCCAGGGGGTTAAAAAAAAAAAAAGAACATGGGGTTTTGATGACTCTGCTGAGTTCAGAAGGGCTCCTGTGGGAGTCCTCTGGCAGCTAGAGAGTTAAAGCCCCAGAAATGCCCAGCCCAGACCCCGTCCAGCAGAAGGGGTCCCCCAACCTGGCCTCCCTCTACCCCCACCCTAGACCCTGGGAGTGCGCAGAGAGGGTGACTAAAGCCAGAGAGGCTGAGTAATCCTGGGACATCAACCAGGGATTGAGAAATAGAGAGACAGGAAATATTTTCAAAGAAGAGCATCAGAGGGGGAGGGACACAAGGGAAAGCAAAGGAGAGAGGAGCCCCAGTGTTTCCGCCTCCTCATTCCAGGCTCAGGTTTCCACAACCTCCATTTCAAGTCCCAAATCCCGGGGCCTTCAGCGGGCGGGGAAGTGGCCTGGGTGGGAGGGAGCAGCGCCCACTTCCTTCTCTCCTTCCCCCAGCCCTTTCATTCCACTGACATTTCTATATTTTCTGTAATTAACTCCAGGAGGGAGCCAGTCCCTGACCGCCCCCACCCCTCCCCCCTGCCTGGGAATATAAGTGCTGGGGGGAGGGGCTCAGATCTGGCTTCAAGAGCCAAGGTTCCTGAGTGATTTAGGGGCAAAGAGGGGAGACGTCAGAGGCGCCAGTGGGGGTGGTGGTGGGAAGAGATGGGCACCAGAAGGGGGAAGGGAAGCAGAAATAGAAAGATAGGAAGGGCGGGATTGGATAACTGGAAGCCAGGCCCACCCACATCCTACAACACACCCAGGATCTCTAAGAAGCACTGGAGCAGACAAAAATGACAAAGCCAGCCCCTGCCACCCCCTCCCTAGAAGCACAGACCTGATGTTGGCCAGCATTACGGGATGCACTGAAGTAGGGCTGGCCAGAAGGGAAGAAGATTGGGAAACCCAGAGTATAACATAAAAACAGGCCGACCTTGAGTTCTGTCCCGTCAGCTCTGCCACTAAGGAGCCAGCCATGTGACCTTGACCAAGGCCCTGTCTGACCCCAACCTCAGCTGGACTTCAGGCTCTGACCTTCTGCAGAATCAAGTCTCCAAGGGCACCTCCTTCTACCCCTGCAAGACTTAGTCTGGGCGGGAACTGGGATCTTCCCTGAGCACAAGGAGAAACAGACTCCGAAGAGCAGCAAGGAAGAACCTGGGCGTCCTCTGGCCTAGAGGAGGTTAAGGCACTGCCCGCCTCCCCTCCCCTCTCCCTCTCCAGCCTCACCTCAGGGAAACGGCTCCCAGCCCCAGTGTTCCCCCTCTGCCCTGCCGTCCCCACCCAGCGGCTGAAGGCAGAAGCTCCAAGCAGCCCTGGCCGGCTGAGCCACAGACCGCAGCCTCCTAGAGAGCACACCTTCCCCTCAAACGTTTCTGTAAAAAGCCTCCCAAGTGTACTTGCTCCCCCCTCTCACTCGCCCTCAGCGGCCCCACAGGCCTGACTGGGCTGGACTCCAGGAACCTCTCTAGCTCCAGGGCCAGGAAACCGGGTGTGAAAGTGAGAGTAGGGCCTGACCCTGACACCTCCACCCCCAGGATCCATCCCCCAGGGCCAGGGTTTACTCTCAGGTCAGGCCCTGAGTGGGCTGGAGGGGTGGAACCCTGACAGGGGAGGCAGCCTGCGGTGACCCCAGGGACCTCCTGGGAGGGTCTGGGGCTATAAATACTGACTCCATTTCTGTTTTTAAAATCTGGATTTAGGCTAAAAAGGCTGCTTCCTGGCTTTAGGGTTTAAAGCCACAACAGCTAAATATACGTTACTGTCTGTTTACTTCCCTCAAGAGTCCAACTTGGCATCTTCTCAGACCCCACCACCTGCCTCTCTCATACTCAGAGTCTGGCCTCTCGAGAATTACAGTGGCCCCGCCCCCCCAACCCCCAGCCTGGGCCAGCCTGTCTTCCCAGAAGGCTGGTGCCCCTGCTGCTGCTCCCTTCCTCTTCATCAGCTGCGGGCCTGGCCCCCCACGGCCTCACAGACATCCAGGGAAGCCTTGTCAGATTAAACAAATGAAAACAAAGGGTGCCCAGTTAAATGTGAATTTCATGTAAATTTTTTTTTAGTATAGTTAATCCCAGTTCTAACATTTGGGACCTACTTATGCTAAAATACTATTTGTTGTCTATTTGAAGTTAAAATTTAACTGGCCATCCTGTATTTTATCTGGAACCCCAATCTGGGAGAATAATGCAGCATTGAGAGAAACCTGTTCACCTAAACGGGAAACTGAGGCTGGATGGAAAGGCAGATGTGGTCACTGGAGCAGACAGGGCATGAATGTAGGAGCAAGCTGGGTTAGAATCTCCAATCTGCAGCTCAAAACAGGGCCTACGAGCAAGGAACTTCTCAGTCCCCTCATCTGTCAAATGGAAGGACTCAGACCTGCCCTGCAGAGCTGCGAGGAGATCCACCGATACAAGGCCCATCCAGCTTGCCTAGCGTGAGCTGGGGCAGCGTGCAGGCACGAGGGCAGCGATCACTGCTCTCACTTTACCTGATTCTCCACTAGCCAGGCCTCCAGAGCCACTGGGCAGTGGGGCTCTCAGTTCACTGAGTAAGGCCAGTGCCTGAGTCCTCCACCAGCCTCCATGTGAGCCCAGGGTTAGTTGCTCCAGAAGCTAGTGCTTATTAACAGGCATTATTTTAATTCTACCTTCTACCCCACCATGGGTCAAAAGAGACCATCATCTATCAATTTTCACCACTGCGTTTGGTGCCCTTCCTCTCTGCCAATCCTGTCCTGAGGCCTTTATGACACTACAGTGAGAGCTGTTGTTTCTGCACCGATGTTACAGTCAGTGAGACCGCAGCCCAGAGCGGGCGAGTCACTTGCTTGAGGACTTGCAGCTAAGTGGTGGTGCCAGGATTGGAACCCAGGCCGGCCGCCCTCCAATGCCTGTGCCCTTCAGTACTAATGACATTGTTCTCCCTCCATGCTCCGGACTGTTGGTTGTCATCCCCGAAGACTAGCATCACCTGAATCTCTATCATTGAAGGTCTTTGTTAACTTGTGGGAAAACCAAAGCCCTGCTCTGGAAGTGGGGGCAACAAAAACAAAAGAGAAGAGGTCCCACAGGTCCAGAGTGTGTTTCCTACTGGGAGTATCCACACCCACTTACATGGGTTCAGGGCAGTAAGGATAAGGCCCCAGGCCCCAATACTATGTGCTTTACCATATCATTTCACTAAATCCTCACAGTAACCCTTTGAGGTCTCTGTTCCCATTTTCTTGATTGAGGAAACTGAAGTTTAGAGAGATTAAGCAAATTGATCAAGGGCACAAAGATTGTAAGTGGCAGAGATAGGACCCGACCTATAGGTGTCCCTTCTGGGGCAACACTTGCAACCACTGCTCCCTACTTCTCCTGCAAGGATCTTTCTTTATTTATTCCCCTTTGGGCATCCCAGAGCCCCCATCCCTCAGCTACTCCCTAACCTGTCTTTATATCCTGGAATTAAGGGCTGTCTCAGACCAGCTGACGTATAGGTTGGAAGCCAGTCTCGGGGCACGGTGCTGTGGGATGCACCCCAGGACCCCAGGTCTCCTACTCCACACGTGTTGGCACAACTTACCACTGGCAGAGGCCAAGATCATGGCTTGTAGCATCTCTGTGTCGAACTGGTTGTTGGGCCAGGTGCCGGTCTCATCGCCATTTTGGGATCTGCGGAAAGAGTGGGCTGGTGAGCATATGCTCTCCCAAGCCACCCCACCCTGCCCCTCCTGTCCTCGCTCAGGGCCCCCAGATCTAGTGTCCAACCCCAGCCCACGCCCAAGACCTGCCCCTTTCAGCAAGGTAGGAGGGAGCTCACACAATCTTTCAGAAGCCAGACCCCCACCTGCCAGTCCCCCAAACCAGCTTTCTATCTATGGTTTCAGACACCATGGCGCTTGGAGGGAGGGGGCAGGACGCACTGCAGCTTGCCTGCCCGCCCCGCTGTAAGGAAGCGGTGGCTCACAGGAAGGGAGAACAGATCCTCTCCAGAGAACAGTGGAGGGTGGGAAACAGGAGAGAACGTGCCAGAGCTAGAGAAAGGCCTGAGAGCCTAGAGGCAGAGGCTGGGAGGCCCACGAGACGCCGAGCCCAGGAGAGAGGCTGCTAAAACTCAACTCTGATATGCTTTGGTGGCTCACTCAGGCATCAGGATAAAATCCACCTGAGAACCAGCCCTTCCTATTCCCCAAGAACCACACTCCCAGCATTCTATCGTGAACCCTTTCTGAGTCCCCTTCCTGACTCCTCGCTCTCTCTTACCAGCTCCTTTTGGTCAGATACTGCTTCCTAGAATGCAAGCTTCCTACCTCTGCCTTGGTAACGTGAAGTGAATGTTTGTCAGAGGGGACCCCTGAGCCCACCCAGGCTGGGTTAGGTGCCTCTGCCATGTTCCCACCCCAACTGGCTGCTCTGTGGCAGCTCTAGGCCCAGGGGGACTGCCATTGTCCCACCCCCTACCCCCCCCTCCAATCTGCTCCACCCACAGACCCAGCTCCTTGAGCTTTGGGAACAGGGCTGTGCCTGTTTCCTACTGAAGCACCTAGTTAACAACTTTAGAAGCTCTAAACATTGAGAAAAACATGAGGTGATCCATTAGTTGTTAAAAACATTAACCTGACCATTACACGCCAGTCAGGATGGCTGCTATCCAAAAGTCTACAAGCAATAAATGCTGGAGAGGGTGTGGAGAAAAGGGAACCCTCTTACACTGTTGGTGAGGCTAATTCATTTCAATGTATGACAAAAACCACTGCAATGATGTAAAGTAATTAGCCTCCAACTAATAAAAATAAATGGAAAAAAAAAACAAAACATTAACCTGAACTTTAAGGAATGGTACTCCAACCTGGATTTTTTCCCATAGTAATTTTACTCCTATGCTTTAAGAGAATTTCCAAGGCTCAAATGATTTCCATTTTTGAAGGGAAGCGGAAGCAGCCTGCCACACAGTCTATTAGTTGACCTCTGCACTCTCTGGAACACTGAAATTCCTCAATGAATGCTTGTTGCCTGAGAGCCCTACAGAGAAAGTTAGGTCACTAAGAGGTAAGAAGCATTTTGCACCAGGGGAGGGGCTGGAGGGCAGGCCCTGAAGGCATGCAAGTTGGGGTGGGGGAGGGACGGAGTGTAAAAGTGTGTATTTTGTCAAGGTGGCTGAGCAGAGTCAAGAACAGCTTTATGCTTTTTCCAAGGTCTGTCCTTGCTTATGGTTTCTCCTGATCTGGAATTCGCAACTCAGGCAGGTGGACGCAGTCTAAGGCCCAGATCAGCTGCTGTGTGGTGGCCTCTTTGCTGTCACAGCAAATGTATAGTTAGGGCTGGAGGAGAAAGCAGGAATGTCATATCTCCCTCTGCAGAGTGAGAAGAGCTAGAACTCTGGGTTCACTTATTCAACCAGTATTTATTGAGCAATTATTGTGTGCCAGACACAGGGCTGGGTGCTGGGTTTGTAGCTGTGAACACGACTGAAATAGCCCGGTGTTCAGTCTCCACTGACAGGCTGATAGTAAATAATTACACTATCACTGAATTGTAATTGTGAAAAGTGCCCCAGAGGCAGAGAGCAGGGGTGTAAGAGCGTCCTGACCTAATCGGGGTTAGGGAGCCAGTCAGTGCAGGCTTCCCCGAAGAGAAGACAGGGAATTTAAATCTGAAGAACCCATCCAGGTGATCTGGAGGAGAATGCCAGTCAAAGAAAAGTCAGAGGATAGAAAATGAACGCTCTGTAACTGCCGACGTAAAGACCGATTCAGGCAAGATCAGCAGTGAATACTCAAATATCACCCCAAGATCACTGACTAGTTACCAGCATTGTGAAAATACCTCTGTAACACAGAGATCTGGGGGTACTGCTTTAACCTGGTGAACAAACTGAGCATCACACTGACAGGAAATGATTCCCAGCACAAAGAGCAGTGTCCCCCACACAGTATTCTTACCAGACTGTGTAACCTGACCTCACTGTGAGAAAATGATCCCCGAACACAGGCTCTGGGACATTTTGAAAGACAAGGGGCCTGGAGTCTTTAAAACATGTCTATGTATGTGTACACACACACACACACACACACCCTCCAAGGCAAGGGGCCTGGAGTCTTTAAAACATGTCTATGTATGTGTACGTACACACACACACACACACACCCTCCAAGGCAAGGGGCCTGGAGTCTTTAAAACATGTCTATGTATGTGTACGTACACACACACACACACACAAACACACACCCTCCAAAAGGCAAGGAGGCTGTTTTAGATTAAAGGAAATGAAAGAGAGATAGCAAGCCAATGCAATTTATGCTGCTTGATTGAATTCTGGCGTTTAAAAAAAAAAAAAAACAGGTTAAAAGGATATTTGGGGAACATTTATGAAAATCTGCTAGTGGACTGTGTATTATTGCATTAATGTTAAAGTCATCAAATGTGAGCATTCTTTTGTGGTTATGTACGAGAATGTTATTGTTGTCAGGAGAGAAATACTGAAGTATTTCAAATGTTTTTAGGTCTGCAACTCAAATGGTTCAGGGGGTGAGTGTGTGCATGTTGCAAGAGAGAAAAGAGAAAATAAATGTGCAAAATTTTAACGACTGATGTATCTAAGTTTAAAAGAGTATCTGGATATTCATCATACTATTCTTTCAACTTTAAGAGGTTTGAACCATTTCAAAGTAAAAAATTGAGCGATACAATAAAGTCAGCTAGGAGAAGGGTAGTGTTGGGAGAGCTTTCCAAGCAAAAGGAGTAAAACGCCCCAGCCTCTGAGGCTGGGCGGAGCTCAGCGAGCTCAGAGCCAGTGTGGCTGCTACGGGACGTGGTGGTGGGGCTACAAAGTGCACACTGGAGATTGTGTTCTTACCCTAAGAGCTCTGGGAAGTCTCTGAGGTGTATAAAAGGGGTTGTCAATTAAGTATTTAAAGATCACTGTTAAGATAGGTAAACTCCTTCAAATTGAATTTTTTATTAAAATATTTTAGTTTCTTTTACTGTTATCTTTCAGGTGTCTAAATCTCCAGTCTGTTGTACTGGTAATTTAGTTCTGTAATAGAATAGTTTGCTGCCAACTCTTTATGTTAAGTAATTTTTAAATATTTGTAATATTGTTGAGTGACTAATAAACTATTAAGTTACTAACATTAAAAAGAAGAAGATCACTGCTGCTCCCAAGAGAAGATCGAGGGATTAGGGGCACCTCTGGGAGGGCAGGAGCCCAGTGACGGAGCCTCAGCCACCTCTGTCTCCATGACAACCCAGGAGTCCTCACATGCAGGCAGACTGAGCTCTCTCTGGGCTCGCCTGGGGGTGCAGGGCTGAGGCAGGAGGGCTCCAGCTGAGACAAAGGGCCTAATGTGGATATAGTGGGGAGAGCAGATAGGGCAAGCAGCAGGGGGCTGTGGAGCAGACAACAGGGTCAGACACCAGGTTAGGAGGATACCCTGTGATGGTGGGTGATGGTGTTGAGGGAATGAAGGTGAGTGGAAAGGTGGGCCTGGAACCATGATGGACTGGGCGGGGCTGAGAGGAGGGTTCTTAGGAAGTGACTGAAGGCTGGAGGCCAAGCACATGGGCAGAGAGAGAGTTCTTGTTGAGCAGTTTATTGACAGCTTCTTATTTCTGGATACTGGGCTGACTAAACTATATACATGTTGTCTATTTCAGCCCAAGAAACACCCACAGGCACTGGGCTGACTAAACTATATACATGTTGTCTATTTCAGCCCAAGAAACACCCACAGGCAAGTGTTATCATCCTTATTTCCCAGCAGATGAAACCGGGGCTCAGAGAGGTTGAGAGACTTTCCCAAAATCACACAGCTGGCAACAGGCAGCTGTTGTGAAATCACACAAACTGGCCTAATGTGACTCCAAAGCCTATGATCTTATACATAACAACATACTGGGCTTCGTCAGGGATGGGAACTCTTCCAGGACTTGGGGAACAGGGAAAAATAATAGTGAAGGAGACGGACTACATCTAACTGACCATTTTCCAAGTGTCAGTGCCTGTGACAGGCCCTAGGACTTAAGAGACGATATGATCTCGCCCTAAGGAGTTTGTATTCTGGTGTGCTGGGGGGCTGTGTGTGAGGAACAACCCCAGAGGCCAGGCTGTGATTAAAAGCTCCCTGCATCCTGCTCAAAACAAGGAGAAACATGGGGAAGTCACCCCTGACCTTAACCTGGGTTTACCTGTGTTCAATCTAAGTGCATGTGTATCTTTTTAATGTAGTAAAAGCCTGTCTGCACCAGATAAAATTTTTACCCATTAGAGAGGCTATTATGCAATAATTAAATGACTTATGAAGAACTTTTCTTATGACGTGGTACACAGAGAGAAAAAAAAAGGCTACAATACTGATGGACAGTATGACCTCAATTACTAACAAAAACAAACAAAACTAGTGAGAAATATACTACCTGACTGAGATTAAAATTTGCTGACATCCTGTGAACAAGTTTGTGATCAATTCGTCTAGATAATTAGATTTTTAAAAGCAGCAGTGGCAGAAACAAAAGAAGCAAGAGCAGAAAAACCAAGAGCAGCGGCTTGTGCATGCTAAACGCACCAAGAAAAAAGTTTGAAATGCATTTAAAAATATTAAGAGAGCTTAAGACATGAGACTCTCAACCAAATACAAAATGTGGACCTTAATTTGGATAAGCACACAAACAGGTTAACAGAGAGCAATATATAACTGGGGAAACCTGAATACAGACTAAATATTTGATGATATTATTACTATTAAATTATTTTTAGTGTTTATGTGTTTAAAAAAATGAATCATCTGTTAAAGATAGTGAAGACTGATGAAATATGATGGCTGTGATTTGTTTTAAAATAACTCGGTGGGAGGAGGGAGATGCGAGACAAGTCAGGGGGTTAGTTGAAGATGGAGAGTGAGGCCAGAGAGGCTCACTACACCAATGTCTCTCCTCTTGCATAGGTTTGAAATTTTCTGTATTAAAAAAGTTAGTGGTGGTTTCCCTGGGTTGTAAAATTATGAGTGATTTGAAAAACTGTTTTTTCCATTTCTCATGTTTCTATAATCAGCAAGGATTATGAGCAGAAAAAAGTAAGTTGCTATTGGTTTGTTTGTTGAATGGCTGCCCAAATGGAGGGAAAGACAGTGTCCCCCAGGGAAGGCAGGTCGGAAGGGGAAAGGCAGTGTGGTGCCATCAAAGGAGGACAGTGTAGGGACCGGGGGAAGCCACGCGGAGATTCTGTTCTGGGCAGAGGCTGGGAACGGCAGCAGGGAGGGGCCTGGGGCATGGCTTGAGAAAGGAGAACTGGCTTGCTGGGCTCAGGCTTGAGACAACAGCTGTTGGGACCAGAAGCCAAGGAGTCAACCTGAGCATAGATGGTGGTGGTGAAGAGGAGCACCTGGAAGGCAAGGACTTCAGAAAACTCCCTTTTGTCCAGGCAACGTGACATAGCACTGGCTTGAACCTGAACCAGGTTTACTGCAGAACTCAACACTAGCCCTGCTCTGAACCTGGTGTGCCAGCAGCCGAGATGGGCCAGAACCAGGGTTCAGCTGAATGAGAGAAACCACCCTTCTTCATCCTCTCACTCCCATCGGCTCATCAGAATGGCAGCAGGGAAAAGCTCCCACTACTCTGTTGATCCTGACAGGGCTCACCACAGGGCCTTTGCAAATGCTCTTTCCTCCACCTGGAATGTTCTTCCCCTTTCTTTCGGCTGGTTGATTCTCAACCTCATTTCTTCCTGATGTCCTCCTGCCCCCTGACTAGGTCACATCCCTACTGTATACTCTCAAGACCTACTGTATACTCTTCGTAGCACTTAGGATAGCTGGAATCTCACTTTTTTTTTTTTTTGAGTAATTATTTGATTAATATTTGTCTCCCTCAACACACTATAAACTCCCTGAGGGCAGAGATTATGTCTATCTTATATCTCCTATACCTAAAAATGTTACTATTTACTGAATGAATGAAAGAGGGAAATCACAGTTGCTGAATCAGGCCCCTAACACTGATTTTGTCTGGGCCCCTGTTGCAGCTCAATCATAAGTGTTGATTCCTTCCCCTTCAAGCTACCCGAGGAAGGGAGAGTTCCTGAGCCTTCTCCTCCATCTCAAGAGCTCCCACGTCTACTCAGGTTACCATGTCTCTCATACAATGAAAAGGGACTTGAGGGTGGGATAGGCATCCAATCCAGAGGGCACATCCTAGTCCACTGCTGAGGTGCGCGAGGCAGCAGTGAGCTCTGCTTCAGGGCCAGTATACGGCCTGGGGTGGTGGAAGGTCAAGTAAACACAAACTGCCCTGTATTTCTCATCATCTCAGCTCAAACGTCACTTCCCTTCTTTATCCCCCTCCCTCATTATACTCACATAACTGTCTCAGAATTTACTGCAATTTGTAACTAGAAATGTTTTTAGTGTAATTTGTTGTCAATTTTCTGTCTTCCCTGCTGGCATGGAAGCCTGTGAGTACAGGGATCGTATCTACTTGTTCACTCTTATGTGCTAGTGTTTAGCACAGGGCCTGGCTCATAGTAGATGCTCAATAAATATTTGTTGAATAAATAAACACATGAATGAATAAATGAATAACCTAATGGATAACCTGCAGGAAGGCTGGCAAGGCCAGCAGGGAGAAAGGAGACAACTGGGGTCAAGAGGGGGGCAAGGGCAGTCCAAATCATCGGGTTTGCTACTTTCTAGGGGCCTCAGCCAGGAAGTGCCTGAGACCATGTTACCAGAGGCAGGATTCACAAGCCCAGGACCTGGAGTCTCCACCTTGCACCAAGGTGTCCTGGGCTCTGGTGGCAGTGAGGACTCAGCATCTGTAGCATCTGGACAGAATGTGGGCAGCAAGCGTCCAGCCAGCAAGGAGCTGCACAAGGCAGCCCAAGCTCTGCCCTCCCTCTGTCTTCTGGGCCTCTTGGACTCCACCAGGCTCCCGACTTCTAACAGGGAGGCTTGGCCCAGAGCCCACCCTGCTCTGCTCAGACCAACTGCAGGTCTTTTGCTGAAGTCCTCCCCCACTCCACCCCTGCCCCAGGGTGTTCCTGTCTTAGCAGGAATTCATACCAGATCGGTCTGGGCAGCTGGGGCCGCCTGGATGGGAGGGTGTGCTACGGAGAGCAGGGATCAAAGGCTCTGTGTGTGTGAGGGGCAGCGGAGGGAGAGCGCCTGGGGGTACAGGCGCCTGTGTGTGCTGGCTTGCCCACGAGTTTTAAGAAATGACAGACAGGGAGAGGGACACAGAGTAGAAGTCAGGATAAAAGACCTAGAGATAAAGAAAGAGCAACAGAGAATGAGGCAGAAAGAGACAGAAAAGAGAGAGATACACAGAAACAAAGAAACACAGGCTGAGGACAGAGAGGAAAGCAAAAACAGTGAGAAAGAGACTGGAGACAGAAGACCACTGGGAAGCGATGAGAGGAGGAGAGACAGAAGAGAAGTCAGGGACAGTGAGAGGAAGGCAGAGACAGAGAGAACAGGAAAAGCAGAGACTGAGACTGAGGAGGAGTCACATTTATTCACTGATTCCACATTTATTGAGCACCTAGCCATAGCAGGCGCAGCGAAAGGCACAGGTCACTGCAGGTGGACGCAAATGGTAGGGACCGAGATACAGCAACACAGACAGAAACTGAGACAGAGACGAGGAGAGAGGGAGAGGCAGACTAAGACAGGCTCTGAACTGAGGACGGTTAAGAGCGTCAGAGACCACAGGTCTGCAAGCAGAGAAGACCTGGGCAACCTGCCTCTCCAAGGCGGCTCTCCCTCCTCAGCCCCACCTCCAGCTGCCTGGCCTCCCTCGCCTCAGCCTCAGCTCCTTCTTGCAGGCTCTGGAGGAGCCTCTGACTACTGACACTTCCTCCTCTCCTCCTCCTGTCCCAGATTCCTCTGCCTGAACCCCAGTCAGGATGGAGGGCAGCCAAATCTGGGGCAGGGGGACAGAGCCAGACAGATAGGTATAAAAAGCCTCCTCTCCACCCAGAGACCAACCTTATGACCATGCTTCGCTCCCACAGAGCACCGAAGATACAAGAAAAGGTTTGTGTGGTGGGGCTAAGGGAATGGGATGAACGTGTGTTTTCAAAACAGCCACAGTAGGAGCCTCTTCCTTCTGGGGTTTCTGCACCAGCCCCCAATACCCCAAAACCTCCCTGAAATCTGGAACTGAGGGAGGAAGCCATTTGTAGTGAAAGCTGAGCCCTCCCCTTCTCTCCCCCCATCTCCTCCCACGTCATCACTGAGAAAAATGCCGCAGAGAAGAGGGTGGGCTGGAGAGGCAGTCACCTACCCGCTGGTGCCGGGTCTCTGGGCCTGAGAGAATCGCCAATCCGTGTTGGGTGGGGCTTGCTGTGGAGAAAACAGAGGGAAAGAGGCTGAGTACCCAAAAGGGCCAAGATGAGGGTGGGGTGGGCTCGTTTTCAAAGATAAATTATACCCTCAGGTCTCAGAGGTCTGAGATCCCAGAGACAAAGAAGTAAAATGACATTTAGCCCATCACAGTGAACAAATCCAGGTTCCTTTCCTAAGCAAACTGCCCCTTCTTCCCTGCCCCCCAACTCAGAACTCCTGAGCTGAGGTTCAAGGGGAACTGGGGTGTGTGTGTGTGTGCGCGCGCGCAGAGAAGGGCCCTCAAAGTGGCAGGGGAGGCTTTTGGATGAGAATTCCACCAGCCCTAGAAAGAATTTCATTCAGCTCCTCAGCTGGGAACAAAGCGCCCTCTGCGGCAAGATGGCTGCTGTTCCTGGTAACCCTTTTCATGCCAGGCTGGGCCTTTACATATTCAGAAGGACACCTCCTTCAGACCCTCTCTCTCAAGGATCCCTTCCCACAGCTAAATACATTATTAACTTAGGAGTCACGCCAGACTGAGCCTTTGCAGGGCATCCAAGCCCCAGGACACCTCTCACCCCCAGAATTCTGTGCCAGACAATAGCTGTGACTAAGGAGGAGAGAACAAGGCTGCTCTGTCTGGGACGGAGAGAACTGCTGGGACGGAGCCCAGCAGAGATCAAGCTCCCACAGCCTCCAAGCAGAGCCAAGTCAATCTCCAGGGCTCCCAAGGCACAGATCTGTAGCCATCCCCCATCTGGATGAAGGTGTGGGACTTGAGCCAGCCACCTCACTTCCACGTTCCTCCCAGCCTTGCCAGAGGGTGTGTTATCCCATCACACACTCTCATGGAGCACTCCTAGAGCTGTTTCCTCGCCATTCTGGAGTGCTCTGGTAGTTAATTCTCACACTCACTCCCAGGAGAGGAGAGGAGAGGTGAGAGCATCTCCAATTACACTGGGGAGAAGGAAGACCCAGGGCTGCCAAATGACTCACTCTAAGTCTCACAGGTGGCAGTGATGTGAGGAAACTAGAAACTTAGCATCCCAAGTACCACAGGAGTCACCAGCACCATTCTGCAGGTGCCATGGGAAGGGCCCAGGGGTGCCCAGTGCTCAGTCACAGTATTCTTCGACACAGTAGAATCTACACTGAGATGCAGGAACCGTGACAGACTGGAGGACAGGATAGAGGAGAACTCGCAGCCTACATAAGGACAGCAGGTGCAGGTTTGTTCAGTTAGGGCTGCTCAGGGATAAGGAGCCCCAGTAGGCTTTTCTCCACGAGCAACGCCCTAAAAGGGGAAAGAATGTCCACCTTTGCCTCATCCCAGCAGATGTAAATCGTCCTTCCTCTTCTCCACCTTTAGAAGCACCAAGTGACTGAAAGCACAGATTCTGGAGTTAAACAAATCTAGACTAGATCTTTGTCTATCACTTACCATGTGAACTTGAGCAAGTCACTTGACCTCTGTGAAACTCAGTTATAAGGGAGAGTGAGCAGTGTTAGTACCTACCCAACATAAGTGTGGGGAAGAGCAAAGGAGCTGCTTTGGTTCTTAGAGGAAATCCGTAGTAAGGTTCTCTCAATCAGCTATCAGAATTCCATGGTGGTGTTGCTCCAAAATATAAACGATTCGGTAGGGGCAGGGTGGAGTACAGACATATTTTGACTAAAAGCTCCTGGAGTTACAGAAACTTAACGTTATTTTACAACAAACATTTCCCCAAATATGAAAGCACCCTGCTGGTTTCTGGCAGAGGTCATGGTTTTCCAACAGCAGGGGAAGGAAGGGCTTGCCAGAGTCTTAGATACTTTGGTTGCAGTTTATGGTGGTTTAGTCGCTAAGTTGTGTCTGACTCTTGCGACCCCATGGACTGGAGCCCGCTAGGCTCCTCTGTCTGGGATTTTCCAGGCAAGAATACTGGAGTGGATTGCCATTTCCTTCTCCAGGGGATCTTCCCGATGCAGGAATTGAACCTGGGTCTCCTGCATTGCAGGCAGATTCTTTACCAACTGAACTATGAGGGAAGCTTTGGTCACCTCCAAAGTCCCTGATGTGGAGAAGGAAATGGCAACCCACTCCAGTATTCTCGCCTGGAAAAGTCACATAGTCAGAGGAGCCTGGTGGGCTACAGTCCATAGGGTGGCAAAGAATCGGACACAACTGAAGCAACTGAACACACAAAGCCCTGACGGTAGACCGCTGGGCCCACCGTGGGCACGACGGAGCCAAAAGCCTGTGTCCTAGTGGCCAGAACCCAGGTGCTCCAGGTTCCCACTTCCAGCCATAGGACAGGTTGGTGGCACCACAGAGGGCCAAGGCGGCCTGTCCTACAGAGGCCTGTTCCCTTGTCCCAGGCCAGCCCCGCCGCCCCTTGAGCCACAGGGCAGTTTGGCCTTCCTGAGCGAGGCTTCTGGGCTGGAGGCCCCCACCAACCTCTGCTCAGGGTCTGGGCCCAGACCGACCCACCAGCCCATGGGTCACAGAGTCCCGCCAGCCCCGCACCTAGAGCGCCCACATGGCTGCAGCACTAGCGACTGGGGTGGCCAAGAGGCCTGCCAGGAGGCCACCGGTCAAGGCCAAGGCAGGGATAACCTGTATCTCCCTCAGGTTAAAACCTCTGAGGCTGGCAGCAAGGTGGAGGGAAGTTGTGAGTTGTGAGTTGCTGGGACAGCCCGCTGCAAGCAGCTGGCAGTTAAGGCGGTGTATGAGGACAAGGATGGCCAGGTGCGAGGGGCATGCGCAGGTGAGGTGTGGCGAGCCCGTGTGCTGTGCGTGGCACATGCGCCAACCACAGACGCATTAGTTTGATGTGGGAATAAAGAGGGTTGTCAATTACAGTGAAGTCACCGGTCAAGAGAGTGGGAAGAAACCTAAGAAAAAACCTCAAGACCAGCAGAGTGTGCCCGCATCAGAGCCTAGGAGGCTGGCTGCAGAAGAGGATCTGTGACTGCCTCTACCTGGACCCAGATCTGGTGGAAAACGCCAGAGTGATCGCCAGACCCCATGCTTTTCTGTCTGCCCTATCCTCTCTCCCCATCACCCACAGTCGCCATCAACTCCCCAGGCACAGCGCCCCATCCCTGCCTCGGCCACACCTCTGCTTCCGCACAATCCATCCAGACAGTCCCGACATTCGAGTCAAGCCCCACCAGAGGGAGCGGATGCCAAGTTCAAAGTCCCTGATGTGGGTGGGCGGCGTCTCCATTTCTGCCCCCAGGGGTAGCTTGGGAGCCCCTCACCTGGCTCCGCTCCCGCAGCGTGTTAGAGCGGGACCGGAAGGCGATGGGCTCCGGCGCTAAAGCTGAGGGCTGCTGAACGCTGAGGGGCCTTAGAAAAGTGAAGTCGCTGCCGTCGGAGGCTGGTGAAAAGCACGTCCTGTAGCAATGGCTGTGCGAGTCTGTGGGCCGCAGCGTCACCTCCATGTACTTGAGTGTGCCGTCTGAGCTCACCTGTAGGTTGGGGCTGGACTGCTTATAGAACTCCCGGGAGGGCGAGTCCTGGCGCCCGCAGCACTGACCCCCACCCCCATCCCCGTCCCCCCGAAGGCACTTAGCTGACAGAAAGGTGAAGGTGACTAAGGATAAGAGGCTGGTGGCCGCAAGAGCCACAATGAGGTAAAGGGTAAGGTCTGAGCGCTCAGGAGGGTGTGTGAGGAAGTCCCTGGATTTGGGCATTTCCTCAGGGTCCTCATCTTCCAGAACCAGCAGCACTGTGGCTGTGGAGGAGAGTGAAGGGTCACCATTGTCCCTCACCAGGACCACCACCTGCTGGGTGTCAGCATCATCCTCCAGTAAGGCCCGGGCTGTTCGCACCTCACCAGTGTGTGCAGACACCAGGAACAGCCCTGGGGCTGTGGACTGTGGCAACAGTGAATAGGAGAGCCAGGCATTGTGGCCTGCATCAGCATCTACGGCTGTCACCTTGGTGACCAAGGAGCCAGGAGGGGCAGAGCGAGGGAGACGCTGGGGGAGTGAGAATTCCCGACCCGGTCTAGGGTGCAGCACAGTTGGGGCATTATCATTCTGGTCCAGGACAAATACGTGGAGAGAGGTGTTGGCGTGCAACGGGGGGGAGCCAGAGTCTCGAACGCCCACCACAATCTGCAGCATCTGCAGCAGTTCGTAGTCGAAAGTACGCTGGGCAAAGATCCGCCCATCCTCGGGGTTGACATACACAAAGGAGGCGGCTGGGGAGCCCTGAATCTGGTTCCCTACAATAGAGTAGGTAAGACGGGCGTTATCCCCAGTGTCTGGATCGGAGGCAGCCACGGTGCAGAGAAGGGAGCCTGGAGGCCGGTTTTCTGGGATGTAAGCCGTGTAGAGCTGCTGGGTGAAGTAGGGTGCGTTGTCATTTACATCTGAAATGTTGAGCCTGATGGTGAGATGTGCATGCAAGGGAGGCGAGCCCTCATCATGGGCCAGCAGCTCAATGATATAGTGGGATGTGGCCTCACGGTCCAAAGGCTGGCTGGTTAGGAGTGAGTAGTGGTTCTCAGAAGGCTTAATCTGAAATGGCAGGTCTGGAGAGAGATCGAGGCTCACTTCACCATTTCTCCCCGAGTCTCGGTCCCGCACATTAAACAATCCCACTACTGTGCCCACTGGTGTGCTTTCCAGGACAGGGTTGACCAAAGAGGCCAGTAGTACCTCTGGGGCATTGTCATTGGCATCCCCCACATCCACTTGAATCACACAGTGGCCTTCCATGGCTGGTTGTCCCTGGTCACGGGCTCTTGCATGAATTTCATAGAAACTTGACTCCTCGAAGTCAATGGGACCCAACACATGGATTGCTCCACTGCTAGGGTCTAGGCCAAAGAGGTTCCGCACTGCCCCAGACGTATGGTCTCCAAAAGAATAGTCTAGTTGGCCATTAGTGCCCTCGTCTGGGTCAGTGGCATTGAGGCGGAGAAGCAATGTACCCACGGGTGCATTCTCCGGGAGTCCCACACGTAGAACTGAGGACTGGAAGGCTGGAGCATTATCGTTGATATCCAGCACAGTGACAGAGATAAGGGTGGTCCCTGAGCGGGCTGGGACGCCCCCATCCACAGCTGTGAGCACCAGCTGATGTCTTGCCTGGGTTTCACGGTCTAGCTGCTGCTCCAGCACCAGTTCTGGGAACAGCTTCCCATCTTTTAGGGTCTTCACATTCAGAGAAAAGTGGCTGCTGGGGCTTAGAGTATAGAAGCTCACAGTATTGGTGCCCACATCGGGATCCTGGGCACTATCCAGTGGGAACCGTGCCCCCAGTGCAGCTGACTCTGAGATGCGTATCTCTCGCTCAGGGGTGGCAAAGCTTGGAGAGTTGTCATTGAGATCCAGGATTTCCACCTCTACACGGATTAGTTCCAGGGGGTGTTCGGTCACCACCTGTACTGGCAGCAGGCAGCTGGTGCTGGCTGCACACAGGCTCTCTCGGTCAATTTTCTGATTCACTGCCAGAGCACCACTCATCAAGCTCAGGGAAAAATATTGCCCATTCTCCTCAGTGCCCAACCGCAGCCGGCGGCTCAACAGATCTGTCACCTTTAAGCCTAGATCCTGAGCAACGTTCCCCACCAGCGTCCCCGGCTCGGACTCCTCCACCACAGAGTAACGAAGCTGCCCAGACACCCAGCCCCAGCAGCACAAGGACAACATGCACAGCACTTGCCATTTCCCAGCGAGCTGTGGGGATGTCTTGGGCCCCATGACCCAGAAGTCCCTTCCTGGACACTGACTCTGAGCTGTCCTGTCGCCAAGGTAGACCCAGGGCTTGGAATGTAGCAGCTGAAATCTCTTATGTCTCCTTCCAGCCTCTTAAAAATTGCTCCGAGGCTTGTCTGCCTGCAGCAGTTCTTCTTAGTCACCAAATGGCGGGGGTGGGTTGAGGGGGAGGGGAATTGAATCTGAGAGGAGCTGGGGAGCTGGGGGAGGAGAGGCGGGCTAGAAGATCAGATCCCCCACCTCGGCTCTAAGTCTGATTGGCCCAAAAGTCTGTCTGCTCTCAACCAATTATAAAGTCTCCTCAGTCCTGGAAACCTTAGGAACCGGCGCTGCAAATCCGTGTCACAGAAGCCTCCTACCTCCCCACTCATTTCGTGCTGCAGGTTGATTCAGTTCCCTTGGCAGCAAAGTTTGACAGCTCAGATGGCACTCAACAGGGAAGACAAAGTGGTACAAAACTTCTCAGGGTTCTGTCCCAACAACTTCCTGTGTAACTTCAGAAACTCCCACTATTTCACTTGAACCATCAAAATTTTGTCCTTCTCCAGGAAGCAGAACCCACATGTTACCCCCTCCCTACCCCATCCTGCCAAACACTGCCAGAGTGAAAGAAAAGATTTGTTAGGACCCTTCAGGGTCTTGCTTGGACTCTCCAGCAGTACTTTGAGGAATCTCAATGTCATCGATGGCTGTTAAGGATTCACTTTTTCTGAAAATCCACATGAGCTATGGAATGGGCATCACAACTTGTGGTGAGGGATGAGAACACTTCTAGGACTGATCCAGGTTACCCAAGGAAGGTGACTAGAATCTAGGCATGGCCTCTAAGCTTTATGGTTTCATCAATTCAGAAGAACTCTACTTAAAGACTCCCAGATTGGCCGTCTCTATGAATTCCTCAGCAGCAAGACAGGTCTTGATACTTAGTGATTTCACTTACTGCCTTCCCCCCCACCAAAGAGGTAATGTTCCTCTGTCCCAGTCGACTACATCTAGCTCTGATCCCAATGGGGACTTGATTGGGAGACCTAAAGACCTGGGACAAAAACACCCCTGCTTCCACCTTGTTGCCTCTCTAATCCCTTGGCTCTTTCCTCTTATGTTTCAAGAGGGACTTCCCTGCTAGCTCAGGGGTAAAGAATCCACCTGCCAATGCAGGAGATGTGGGTTCGATTCCTGGGCTGGAATGATCCCCTGGAGAAGGCAACCCACTCCAGTATTCTTGCCTGGGAAATCCCATGGAGAGAGAAGCCTGGTGGGCTACAGTCTGGGTTGCAAAGAGTCATATGGAACTTAGCGACTGAACACCAAACAACAACATTTCAAGCAGAGTCCCTTTCACAGTGGGTGAGGGAGTAGGTGACACTGTGGAGCAAATATATGTTTCCCTCAGTCCACTGGGGAATGGTAACCTAGAGTTAAGGTATTCCAGACCCTGGTCCCTCATTCAGGAAGAGGAGAGAAAGTCACTACCTGGGTTTAGGTGCACCTCATGCACGAGAGCCTTCCATGTGCTCCACATTCCAACAGCATGTTTCCACAACACCCCATCTCTAGATCACTCACTTTCATTTCTTACTCTCAGATAAGGGCATAATCCACCCCAAGTAGTAATCTGTGAAAACTCCCTGGTTAATTCACAAAACGCTTCTAAAGCACATCATCTACCACACAGTTACCACTCTCAGAAGTGGCAACATCACTACAGGCTCTTACAGAGAGACCAATATATTCTCTGGGACATGGCCCAGCCACATGCCTGCATCAGAATAACCCTCAAGCATCGGCTGAGCCTGCAAAGGTCTCACCTCTAGCCCATAGAGAAGATCAGAGGGTGGGCAGCTTGGGCGAACGGGTTCCCCTGCCATAGGTGCACTGGGTGACTTCACCATCATGAAGCTATCACTCCGAGTGGGTGCAGAAGCCAAGGGTGTACAGCCATGAGAGTGGCCGCCCACATCAACAAACTTGATAGGATCATCTGACCCTAGCTGGATTCGGAGGATCCCATTGGAAGGAGGAAGCCCCTCCCTCCTTCGAGACCGGGTGAGACAGGCACAGGTGCCAGCAGGAAAGCAGGTCATTCCACAGGCAGCCCCACGCAGGCACTTTGAGATGAGCGCCACGAATGAGCCAAAGGAAACAAAGCAAATTGCCACTAGAGATACAGCCAAGTAGAGGGTCAAGCGGGATTCTCCTTCCCTTGGAGCCGAGGACTCTCGAAGATCAGGGACAACTGGATGAGTGTCTTCTTCCAAGGACACCAGGAGAGTGACGGAGGTAGAGAGTGGTGGGCTACCACTGTCCTTTACCACAATGACCAGCTTCTGCGGTGGGAGATCAGCTGGGATGGGAACAGCTGTCCGCACCTCCCCGGCATAGCGGGAGACTGCAAACAGGCTAGGATCTGGGGCCTCCAGGAGCTGATACGAAACCCAAGCATTGTAACCTGAATCCAAGTCCACAGCAGTCACCTTTGTGACTAGGTGGCCAGCACCGACTGACGGAGGCAGTGCTTGGGGACATAAGGAACCAGGCCGAGCCCTAGGGCGGAGTACAGCTGGGGCATTGTCATTGAGGTCCAGCACAAACAGACGAACTGTCACAGTGCTACTAAGGGGCGGGTTGCCCCGATCCCGGGCTTGCACCTCAAACTGCAGTGTCTGTGTTTGCTCATAGTCAAAGGATCGAGTAGCATGAACAGCTCCTGTCTGGGGGTTCAGAGAAATGAAGGAGGATGCTGACACATCTCGATTTCTGGGCTCGAGGAGAGAGTAGGAGATAAGTGCATTCAAGCCAGAGTCGGGATCAGAGGCTGCAAGGGAGCAGAGCAGGTCCCCTGGGCGATTGTTCTCTGGAACAAACACCTCATGTGACCTCTGGAAGAAAGAGGGTGGGTTATCATTCACATCCGAAATGTTAAGGAAAATGGTCCTGTGGGTACTCAGAGGAGGGCTCCCGGCGTCAGAAGCAGTGACCATGATATCATAGCTGGATTTGGCCTCTCGGTCCAAGGGCCCAGCAGTCACCAGGGAGAACTGGTTCCTGAAGGCGGACTTGAGGGCGAAGGGCAAATGGTCTGGAATACGGAGGCTCACGTCCCCATTTGAACCTGAGTCAGGGTCCTGCACACTGATGAGTGCCACCACAGTGCCAGGCTCCGCACTCTCAGGGAGAGTCCCCAGCTCTGAGGTCACTGTGATGTGGGGGGCGTTGTCATTCACATCCAGGAGATCCACCCGAAGGCTGCAATGTTGCTCCATGGCTGGAGAGCCCCCATCTCGAGCCCGCACATCAAATTCATAGTAATTCTCGCTCTCAAAGTCTAGGGGTCCTTGAAGGGTAAGCTTTCCATTAGTGGGGTGCAGGCTGAAGAGCGTTCTCACACGATCAGGGGTGTGACCACTGAAAGAAAAGGTGACGTTACCACTGGGACCCAGGTCTGGGTCAGAGGCATTGAGCTGGATGAGCAGCATGCCGGCTGGCGCGCTCTCCAAGACGCTAATCCTATAGCTGGATTGCTGGAAGGCTGGGGCGTTGTCATTCACGTCCAGCACTGACACCCGCAGCTCTGCTGTGCCAGATCTCGGGGGGTTCCCGCCATCCACAGCAGTCAGCACTAGGCGGTAGTCTGACTGCTTTTCCCGATCCAAAGGTTTCTCCAGGAGCAGCTCTGGGACCAGGCTGCCGTCGCTGCGCTTCTTGACATCCAGGGCAAAGTGTTCATTGGAGCTTAGTCTATAGCTGCTGATGGAGTTGCTCCCCACATCTGCATCCTGAGCCTTTTCCAAGGGGAAACGCTGTCCTGGAGGAGCTGCCTCCCCAATTTCCAAGTCCAGCTGCTGCCGAGGGAATCGGGGGGCGTGATCATTCACATCCACAATTTCTACCTCTGCTCGGTACATTTCCAAAGGCCCTTCTGTTACAAACTCCAGGGGCACAATACAGCTGGCACTGAGCCCACACAGCGCCTCTCGATCGATTGGATTCCTGATGAGCAGGGCACCGCTGTCCAAATCCACGCGGAAGTGTCTTTGGTTCACCTCTCCAGCGACCTGCAGCCTGCGAGCTGCCAAGCTCTCGGTATCCAGCAGGAAATCTTGGGCGACATTCCCCACAAAAGTCCCTTCCTGTGACTCCTCTGGGACCGGGTATCGGATCTGCCCACCAACGTAACCCAGGTGGCAAAAAAGGAACAAAAGGGCAGCCCCCCGGCAGATGTCTACCCAGCCTCTCACCTTGCCGAGCATTGCTGCTGCCCGCTAGTTCTCTATCTGGTCCTGAGAAGCCCCAGAAGCTGACCCGCCCCAAACAGCCACAGCAGCTGGAGACACCTATCTCCCTCTCGCCACGCCAGCTTTGGCGCGGCTGGGCTGGCGCCGCAAGGGTTACGCGCCGTTTTTTGCTGGTGGCGGGGTAGATTTGTCTGCCTTCCTCCACACGATTGGCAGACAGCGACTCCTGGGCTCAGCCAATAGGCTAAGCAGAGAACGTCCCGATAGCAGCAGGGTTAATGCGACGCAGTATTGGAAGAAGGAAAAAAAAAAAAACCCAAAAACCCACCTATCTTTTTGCCTTCCTCCCGCTCAACAGCATTTCCCCCCCATGGATTATTACCTCTATAGAGAGGCAGACAACATATATGTTTTTGGGTTTTTTTTTTTTTCTAATTCACCAATCCCCACCCCACCTCACCCCGCCCCTTTTCGGAGGGGAAAACAGCGACAGCCCGAGAGCCCTAGCAACCTGCCGCCCAGAGAGTGAGTAGCCATTTGAGACTGGTCACTTTGTTCAAGCCAGTGTTGTCATCGACCAATATTCTAAAGGAATAGCTTCTGCCTCATTCTGATTGTATTAGAGCAACAGCTAATTAGAAGCACTGCTTTACACAAAAAACCCTGCCCCTCTGCAGATTATTCAGAAACATATCCATCTCTTTGCAGAAAAGGCTTACACATTAATGCAGCCTATTAAATTTATGCAGTACACATTTCTGTTGTAACAGAAGGCGCAGCAGAAACCAAACCTCTTTTACTCAGATACTCACTGGTGATATACTAAATTGCCATTCATTGATTTCAAGGACAGTATGGAAGGAATGAAGGAGAGGGGGAGAAGCCAGGAGAGGGAGATGTTCCAAATCAGTAAAGAATCAGCTTGTCTGGGAGACGCTAAGAACCAGATCTCATTACCTGGCAGAATGCTACTGTTCACAGATTTAATAGCTTTCTTGAATGATTGAGATCAGCTACCAACAGCACCAGTGCCTACAAATCTCCTTTATTTGACACCATGGTATGCTTGATATGTTGTTAATTACCAACTGTGACTGTTTCAAAAGAGCAAATTTTTCACCGAGCCCTAGGGGGCCTTTTGGCAAGGGAAACTTGATCTCACCCTCCCTGGAGCCTGGCTACCACCTTGCACAAATGCAGAAAGATTGTTCAATTCACACTGTAGTTACCTGCAAACTGTAACTGGAGTCACAAACACACCAGAACACAAAGAGAAAAATCTATCTTGATTTGCATGTGAGATTTTTTTTTTAATTCATCTGAATCCTCACCTAGGCTGCCAATTATTGTTGGTGGTAGTGTTTAGTTGTTAAGTTGTATCTGACTCTTGGCAACCCCATGGCCCGCCAGGCTCCCCTGACCATGGGATTTCCAAAACCAGTAGCAAAACCAGAGGTTATCCTCCCAGGTGTTTTCCCAAGCCCTTGATCTTCAAGAAGATCCTTTTGATGGTGAGGCCAGCAACCAACATTTTGGTCTCAAAGGGAGGTATCTGCTTTCTGTGTTCTTTCAGCCCCAAACACCTAAAACTTCTCCCATGGGAATGACAGGTGTAAATCAGTCTGGCTTATAAGGTATTTATGCCAGGACTCATTATCTCAGTAGAATGACACCATCTTCCTCCCAAGCTGCCAGTGGGGAGGGATAAGGAGGATCATTCTTGACTCATTCCTCTTCCATCTTCCCTTTATCATGTCAATGAATAAGTGCTGATAATTTCACTACAGTCATATCCTTCAGTCTATATTTGTCACTGTGCTGGTTCTCAATCTTCTCAAATACTATAACAGCCTTCTAAATGTTCTAAATGTAATATAATAGCCCCATGTAATACAAAAACCCCATGTTACATTACGGGGCTTCCCCAGGTGGCTCAGTGG